ACATTAGATGATAATTAATGACTTTGCCCGCCCGCAGGCCAATGGAGGCGACCTGAGCGTGTTTGAGCTGGGCGAGGCTCAGCTGTGCTGCCTGGTAGTTTGGGTGTATTAAATGCATTTCACCTTCCGAGGGTTTGCCTCGCTGTCACCCCGTCTTAAGCTGAGGAGTCAGGAAGGGCTTTGCTGAGATGAATGCCGGGCGGGGGGGTGATTGGGGTAACGGATCCGGATCCGGAGCCTCTTCCCTGGCCCCGCAGCCAGCGCGTGGGAGCCTCAGGCAGCACCGCCTTCCTCCGCTCCCGCCGGCGGGGCGCGGCCGACCCCGAAAACTGCGGGCGCGGGTGGCGGCCAGCGGCCAGCGGCAGCGACGGGGGCACCCACCAGGCAGCCTCCGGCCTCGCCGAGCCCCGGGTGCGGGTGATCCGCCGGAGGAAGGGAGGGCGGTCACCGGCACCCGGATTGCTAGCGAGCGCGGGACCCAGTGCGGGCGCGGCCGGCCCTCCCGCCGGAGCCGCGACCGGGCGCCGAGGACCCCGCGGCCCCTGAGCCCGGAGCCGCTCCCGGGGCGCGGGCAGGTGTCAGCCGGCCGCCCCCCCCCCCAACCCCGGCCCCGCCCCCCGGCCCCCGCCCCCCCCGGCCCCCGGCCACGCCCCCCGCCCCAGCCCCGCCCCCGGCCCCGGCTCCCAGCCCCGCCCCCGGCCCCTCCCCCCGGGCCCCCGGCCCCGCCCCCGGCCCCAGCCCCGCCCCCCGGCCCCGGCCCCCACCCCCCCCCCCGGGCCCCCGGCCCCGCCCCCGGCCCCAGCCCCGCCCCCCGGCCCCCGGTCCCCACCCCCCCCCCCCCCCCCGGGCCCCCGGACCCCGGCACCACCCCCCGGACCCCCTCGGCCCCGTCCCCGGCCCCCCGGCCCCCGCCCCCGGCCCCCCCCCCCCCCGGCTGCAGGGGCGGGACCAGCAAAGGTCCCGCCCGGCCGCCCGGGCCCCGCGGATCCCGATGAGACCCGCCCCTCCCGCCCCCGGACAGGCCCGCCCCTCCCGCCCCGTCCGCGCGGAGGGGACTGAGCTGCGGCGCGGGAGGTGAGTGCGGGCGCCCCTTCCTCTCCGGGACCCCTCCTCTGCCCCGTCCTCTGCCCCCTCCTCTGCCCCGTCCTCTGCCCCCTCCTCTGCCCCCTCCTCTGCCCCCTCCTCTGTTCCCCCTCCTCTGCCCCCTCCTCTGTTCCCCCTAAGGGGGGCGGGTCCGGCGGCCGTACCGCTGCCCCCTCTCCCTTCCCTCCCCCCTGAGCCCCCAATCCTTCCCTGTCCCCCGTCCCCGCTCCTCCGGCCTTTGTTCCCTGTCCCTGCAGGGCGCGTGCGGGGCTCCCCGGGGCCGGGGCCGGACCCCCAGCCTGGTGTAAGCTGCCGGAGGGGCCGCCGCCGGGTGAGGATGGGGCGCCGGGTCCCCCCCCCCCCCCGGGGTTCTCGGCGGGGGCAGGTCACTGCCTCCGGGCGCTCAGGTGCCAGCGGCTCCGCCCGCACCGGGAGCCGGGGGGCGGGGGCTGGGGGCCGGGGGGGGGAAAGGGGGGGGTCGGGGGATGGGGGACCAGGGGGCGGGAGGGGGCCGGGGGGCGGGGGGCCGGGGAGCCGGGGCCGGGGCCGGGGCGGGCGGCGGGCGGCTCGGGCTGGGGGGGTGGGGAGGGGGCGCTGGGGGGGGCCTTGGTGCAGAGCCCCTAGCCGCGGGGGCGGGGTGCAGGGTGAGGAGGGGTGTCAGGCTGTCGCCTCCCGGAGGCGGACGGGCCGCGGAGCCCGGGGCGGACCAGGCGGGCAGCGCCCAGAGCCCGGAGGAGCTGGTTCTGGGGCTCCTGGGGGGGGGGGGGGCGCGCGCAGCGGGAGGGGAACTCGGACCCTGGGCCCAGAAGTCAGGCCGGCTCCCAGCTGCGCCCCGCAGCTCCTGCTTTGGGAGGCCGCGGGCAGTGCCGCCCTTTCTGTTCTCTCTGCAACCCCAAAGGTAAGGTGACCAGCCGGGGGACGAGGGACAGATCGTTAAAAATCAGGACGTCTGGTCACCTTACCAAAGGCCCCAGTCTTCCCAGCCTCTCCCCAAAGCCTGTGCTGCCTGCTCACCTGCCCCCCACCGCCCCGCCTGTCTGACCACCATTGGGGGGGGAGGTGCCTGTGTTTAATTTCATATGATTTTTAGTTCAGGAAGACAGGATAGGGTACTTGGTCTTGAGTTTGTCTTGTAAAAGCAAGCTCGGCTACTGGGGCCCAAGCTCCAGAGAGGACATCATAGAATGACGCTGTCTCAGGAGATGCTACTTCGCCTTGTTATGGAGGAAACTGAGATAATTCAGAGCGGGAAGCGGGTACCTGCAAGACCAGTCCCGCGGTCCATCCTGGGAGCTAGGAACGCGTGCTCCAGAGCCAGGATTTTTGCTTCCACCGGATAGAAGTTTACCCTTCTGAGCACACTTCCTTCCTTTACAAAAGGAGTCATTTTAAAAATTAAAATTAAAAAACAAAATGCCAAAACAAATTAGAAAACAACAACAACCGAGGAGTCACCTGAGCAGGGCGCTGAGGGCTCAGGTTGGGAGGCAGGTGGGCCTTCTTGGGAGCTCGGATCAGCTCTAATCAGTGGCCGGCAAACTCATTAGGCAACAGAGCCAAATACCAACAGTACAACGATTGAAATTTCTTTTGAGAGTCAGATTTTTAAACTTCTTCTAACGCCACTTCTTCAAAATAGACTCGCCCAGGCCGTGGTATTTTGTGGAAGAGCCGCACTCAAACGGCCAAAGAGATGCGTATGGCTCGGGAGCCGCAGTTTGCAGACCACGGCTCCAATGTGACATTTAGCTCCAAGTTGGGTTTGTTGCTTGTTGGACGGAGGGAGACTCACCCCAGGAGGAACCCCGGGGTGGGACTCAGGAAGTGGGTGTTGGAAGTGAAAGGATTGTCCCAGTTCACTGGCCCTCGCCTCGAACCACCGGGGCGAGATCCTAGGACCTGGCAGCTCCAAATGTCAGGGCCGCTGCTCTTTTCTTTTGTGATGTCGAGCAGGTGACTTTGAACTTCAGTGTCCGCCCCTGTGACGTGGGCACCAGGCCTCCTCAGCGTGGCTGTGCAGATTAAGGGAGGAAATGCGGGGAGAGGATTGCCCAATGCCTGGCACTTGGCGGGCACTCAGCACCCAGCTGCCCCTCCCCCGCTTGAATTGATTGGCGAGCGGAGGCCTGTGATCAGCCACAGCTGCCCCGAGGAGCGTCTTGAATGGGAAGATTTGACTCCCTGTTGCTCTGAATCAGGCTGAAGACCGGACAGGGTGGTCACAGCATCTTCTCATGCAGATCCTTCCTTTGGCAACGACCTTTAGGACTCTGCTCCCAGGAGCCAGGGGCCCCAGTTGGCCCTGTGTCCTTCTGACTTGGTCTCGTCTTGGCCCTGTGCCCTTCTGACTTGGTGGTGTCTTGCTTTCTTGGTCTCTTCCTTGGAGCCTCTTGTCCAGGAGTCTGGGTTAAGCTTGCATGCCCTGACCACACTCATGTGGCTCTCGGAGTCCTGAGGGGAGCTGGGAAGCCACAGGGCGGAGATAGGGGCCGCCTGCAGATAGAACTCTCACTGAGAGCCCGGGCTGGGGGGCAGCCGAGGGGGGCGTGGGGGTTGGGCCAGGAGCATTTAGAGCAGAATCTCTCTGGACACCATGTTCACCTCCTTCCAGGTGACATTTGAATCTGAAGTCTGGCTTCCGCGTAGTTGAGATAGTTTCGCGCTTGTCTGTCTGGCAACATGGGCTTTAGATCCTTCAGCTGGTTCTAATTTTTAAAAACGAAAACTTATTTGATTTTTCCTGGCCAGACAGCTACTTTAGGTGTTTCAGAATGGTATGGCAGCTTATCTCCCAGCGACTCACTCTGTTGTTTTGCTTTTCTAGCCTAGAGCCTGCCTGATTTAGTATTTGAAAACTTTCTAGAAATAAAGAAAGAAAAAAAAGAGGCAACAGAAAATGAGGCAGTGTCACAGTTAAGAAACAGAAATATACAAGGATTTCCCGTAAAAGAGGCTTATTTCATTTATAGTAAAATAACTAGAGGCTGGTGCATGAAATTCGTGCATTGCCGGGGGGGGGGGGGGGGGGCATCCCTCAGCCCTCCAGAAACCCGCGACCTCTCAGGGGATGTCAGGCCTACGCCCGAAGTCGGCCATCCCTCTCACAATCCGGGATGCTGCATACACCAGTGACCATACTTTTCACACCGGTGAATAGCATTTTACTGCTGTATGGGCAGCTACATGTTTTTTGCCCTGATTATAAAAAGTAGCACATAACATGACCCTTCTGAGGCAGTCGTACCATTTTCCCCACCAAAAAGGGTAGAAACACTGAAGCAGAGAGAAGTTAAGTAATTGGCTTGGTCACACAGTTGTGTCAGAATCAGGGCTGACCACAAATTGTGCAAGCCAGAGTCCCTGCATGTCGCTGCATTGTCTTTTTTTTTCAGTGTCAGAGTAGCCTTGCCAGGTTTGAATTTTTAAATCTAAGAGACTATTCCCAATATATAGGCTAGGGTCCCTAGGCCTGGCTGACGATCAGGGCCATCTGTGGGGCAACTGGTGGGCGGGACAATGCCCTCCCTCCCCCCCACCGCTGGCACCCACCTTGGCTGGCAGCCTAGTGCTGCCTCCTCACCCGTTGCACCCCAATTGCTGCCGCTGATTGCCTCCCTCTTGTGAGGGGTGGGGGCAGACGCTCAATGCAGGAGCCGCCCCCCAACCCAGGGCAGCTCCTGTATTGAGCATCTGCCCCCTGGTGCATGGTGACCAGTCCTTGGCTGTTCAGTCAATTTGCATATTAGAGTTTTATTATATAGAATGTAACTTGAAACTGTGCTGAGATGCCATTTTTTCATGTATTGATATACTGATAGATACGAGGGAGGAATCAGGTAATTTTAGGAAAAAAGAATCACAAAATAACATTTAATTTAGGATAACCTTATTTTTCCAGGTAATCTGGAGTTCTCAAAATGTTTGCCAAAGCAACAAAGAATTTCCTCAGAGAAGTCGATGATGGCGGTGATCTGATCGCAGTATTGAACCTGAATGACTCTGACAAGTTACAGCTTCTAAGTCTGGTGACCAAAAAAAACAGGTTCTGGTGCTGGCAGAGACCCAAATACCAGGCTTTGTCCGTCGCCCTGGGAGATGTGTTTACCGAAGACCAGCATCTGAGTCCAGGTCTGTTTCTCTTCTTGTTTGCAATTAGCCCCAGAACAGAAGATGATGAATTTTTGTCTTGAGTGACTATACGGTGATACCTTGTGAGATTTTCCCCCGTTTCTTGCCTCGTGCCTTGAAAACATCTCTTTTCTTCAGATGACATCATCCTGCAGACCTGACATGAAAAGTGATAGCTTAATTTTTTTATTTTTTGTTAATCCTCAACCAAGTCTATTTTTCCCCCTTGATTTTTAGAGAGTGTGGGAGGGAGGGAGAGTCACACAATTAGATGTGAGAGAGACACATGGATTGGTTGCCTTCTGTGCTTGTCCAGACGGGGGACAGAGTTGGAGCCTGCAACTGAGGTACGTGCCCTTGGCCAGAACGGAACCTGTGACCCTTGGGTCAGGGAAATGGAGAAAGCCAAGTGGGAACACTCAGAGCATGTTAGGAGAGATGATGACTTGAGGCTATTTTTGTTGGATGAAAAAAACCTAAGCAATAGAAATCAGGAGCATGGCAGCTCAGGTAGGAGACCATCAGATATTTGTTTAGTGTTCAGATAAGAAGGGCAGATCTCTAAGGCAGTCACCTGGGTACGACCAGGTGAGGCGCATGGCAGTTCCCAGGAGACCGGAAGGCAGCCCGGGCACCAGGTGGGTGGTAGCATGTTCCTGAGTGCCTGGGTGCCGGGGAGGAAGAATGGAGAGTCTGGAGCTTGTGCCTTCCAGGGTGGGACCTGAAGGAGCGGGAGGCCATGCTGCTGAAAGACAGAGATGAGGAATTGCGTGATAAGGAGCTGCCTGCCTGGATAGATAGAGGTCAGATATCATCAGATAAGGCTGGGAAGGGACTTATTTTGAGGTAGACCAGGAGAGTGCTCTCCAAGACTGGTGGGTGGGCAGGGCAGCTCCTATGGGTGAGGCAGGTGGCCCGCCTGCCAGCTACTGCGTAAGCAGGACTCCTGTGTGTCCTGGCTGGGCCTAATCTTCCTTCTGTTTCCATGTCATCATCACCAGTCCTCTTGCCCTGGAAGAGCACCCATTCAAAACATTCTATTTCTTCGCCAGGAGAAAGGTTAAATGGATGTTTGCTTGACAAATAGTCATTCACGTCCACAGCCACTGGATGTGTCCCTGTTTATCCATGTGTGATTGGGATTGAGAGAGACAAACCAAGGCCCCAGGAAAGCCCTGGCCAGCCGTGCCTCACACCAGCTCCCGGCACCCGTGTGCTGGGCCACCTTCTTGTGCCCACACCGGCGTGGTGGCCACCTGTCCATCTGGGGTGCAGGCCTCGTGTTTCCCACGGAGCTGCACGGGGCTGGAAAGCGAGGTGACCCGAGTCCCAGAGGGGCCGTGTCCTCATCAGATCCACGTCTCGTTTGCTGCAGTGGTGGTGGAGTCGGACTTCGTGAAATACGAGGGCAAGTTTGCAAACCACGTGAGTGGGGCCATCGAGACGGCCCTGGGGAAGCTCAAGCTGAACGTCGGGGGCAAAGGCCTGGTGGAGAGCGAGTCCTCGTTCGGGAGCGTGAAGAAGCAGGAGGTGGACCTGCAGCAGCTGCTCGGACAGGCCGAGGGCAGGTAAGCAGGACTTCGGATGTCCATGCATCTATCTTGTGTTCAAAGCCGGATCTTTGTTAAAAAGGACGACAAGTGGAACTTGTCAGGTCAGTGCACATTTGGGATGCTCGCTGCCTCTACTTGGTGGAGGTGGTTCCCTCTGTTTTCCCACTTTGCTGAACGGTTATCACAGGTGGATGCTGGGTTTTGGTCAACGCTTTTTCTGCATCTATCCATGTGGTCATATGACTTGTATCCTGCATGAGTTTATGTGGTGCATCCTGTTACTTGCAGAACTTGAACGAGCCTTGTATCCTGGGAAAATCCCACGTCGATTATAGTGAAGGATCATTTTAATGTATTGCTGAATTCAGTTTGCTACTATGTGCTGAGCATTTTTGCCTCTATGTTCATCAGGATATGGCCTATAAGTGTTTTTTGTTTGTTTTTTATAGTGTTTTTGTTTGGCTGAGGAAAACCTAGATACAGTTTTGGCAGAGAGCCCAGCCGGGTGGTGCAGTGGTTGAGTGTGAACCTATGAACGAAGAGGTCAAGTTTCAATTCCCAGTCAGGGCACATGCGCCGATTGTGGGCTCGATCCCAGTGTGGGGCGTATGGGAGGCAGCTGATCAATGATACTCTCATCTTTGATGTTTCTCTCTCTCTCTGAAATTAATATATATATTTTAAAAATTGTAGCAGAGAATGTAAAGGCAGAGGCACGAGTCCAGATCCCCAGGGAGGGTGCCCGGGAGGTGGGCAGTGGGCTGTGTCACCCTGAGCAAGCCCAGGTGCGTAGCTCAGGGGGACACAGATGGTGCCCCTTCGTGCTTTGCTGTCTGTGGTGGGGTTGGGGGGGGGGTTAGCATATAGGCTTAAGCCACTTTCGTTCTGGTCACCACGGGGTGAGATCCCTCGGGACGGCCCCCAGAGACCCTGTGCATTGTAATTCTCTTTTGAATGAAGAGCAACATGTTTATTGACACCATTCTGTGATGACCCACATTCGTGTTTTGTTCTTAGGCTCATGCATCATCTAATAAATTCTGTACTTTTCTGCCTTGTCCTCCATGGTCAGCTGCCACAGGTCACGGCCCTAAGCATAAGTGCCACACCCACCCCGTCTCTGCCTGGGATAATCAGCTGGGGTCCGGGAATTTTATTCCTGGGAAATCATCTCAGCAGTTTGGTATGTCCCTCCTACCCCTGCCCAGTTCAAGGGGTGCCGGGGCGGGGACGGGTGCCAGCAGGAAGGGGGTCAAGGACAAATTTAAAGTCTAGAAATGGAAGAAGCCCCCTCGTCCTGTCCGTAGCTAAGAGGTAAAAGTGAGGCACCCCGTGGGTTGGTTATGTGTAAGGCTAATGTTCTTGCTACTTTGCTGGAGCCATACATTCTTTTTTTTTTATTTAATTTTTTGATTTTATTGATTATGGTATCACATAATTGTCCTCATGCCCCCATTCCCATCCCAAACCCCTCCCCACATATGCCCCCACCCCCTGTTGTCCATGGCCACTGGTTAGGCTTATATGCATGCACACAAGTCCTTTGGTTGATCTCTCCCCCTTACCCCCACCCTCCCTCCCTTCCCTCTGAGATTTGAGAGTCTAATTGCATAAATTCTTACCCCTCAGTATCGGTGGATAAGACACCATCTGACACACAGTGGCCTTGGGCGTGGGAGTTAGTAATGGTTCTGTACTGTACGTTCCTGAGGGCTTATTGCATCAGCTGTTTTTTATTTCAGGTTGTTTAGATAAGTTGTCATCTGTGTACAGGTATTTAGCCCTCAGGATCCAGAGTGCTCTGTTTATTGTCCACGAGATGTGTGTACATCTCGAAAGCAAACTTCAGCTAGCCCACACGAAGCGAATGTGTGTGTGTGTGTGTGTGTGTGTGTGTGTGTGTGTGTGTGTGTGTGTGTGTAGCCCTTATCTAGCATTGCTGGGCGTGAAGGCATGCCACCAGAGTGAACCTTCCAGATGCACGAACCTTCCAGATGCACGGAGGGGACCCCTTAGAGTGAGAGCTCCACGTGTACCTTAAAACAGGCGTGAAGGAAACCTCACTAAGATAGATCACGTCCATCTCCTCTTCTTTGAATGAAGAACAGCACATTTATAGAGACCATTCTGTGATGACTCACGTCCCTGTTTTGTTCTCAGGATCACATCTCATTCTGTACTTTATCTGCTTTCAGACAGCGACCTTGTGAATAAGTGCCACACCCACCCCATCTCTGCACAGGTTTACTGCTTCTAATCAGTTGCCTGGGGAGTTTCATTCCTGGGAAACCATCCCTCCTACCCCCGCCCCAGCTCCCCGCTGGAGGTGCAGGAGCTGGACCAGGTGGCCTTGGAGGGTTTCCTCCTGGCTAACCCTTGAATGTGAGGGTCACACCAGATCCTTCCCTGTGGTCAGGCCTTGGTTCCAGCCAGTTCCCGAGACGGTGCCCGTCGGTGCTCTGCTGGCTGTGGTGGGGTTGAGGTGGGTGTGACCTCACTGTCGTTCTTTGTCATATTGCAAAAAGCAAATTCTGGCAAAACCGACCACACTTCTGTGTGTGTGAATACCCGATTACCAGAAGTTTGGTTCTTTATGAAGTGACACCAGGCAAGCCATGGGTGTGCAGTGATAAACCTTCGTAATTATTTAAAGTATTTTTTATATAAAATGTATTTTCATTGATTTCAGAGAGGAAGGGAGAGGGAGATAGAAACATTCATGATGAGAAAAAACCACCCATGCATGTGCCCCCGGCCGGAATCAAAGCAAGGACCCTTTAGTCCGCAGGCCGACGCCCCATCCACTGAGCCAAACTGGCGAGGGCTATTTAAAGTATTTAAACATTACACTCCAAGTCTAATAGCTAACTAAGTTTTAATACACACACACAATAAATTAAGTGCTGCAGTTTGTAGTGGCCCACATGTGGCCTCTGTCGTGTTATTACAGGATCTCTCGTGAGTCTTGTTTCACCTGCAGAGGTTTTGGAGGGGAGGGATTTGAGGGCCTGTGTCTTTCGTGAGGAAAACATTCAGTGAAGTAGGAATAGGAGTTTCTACCTGGTAAACTGCCCTGTGGCCAGCAGAGGGTTTGAAAATCATCCCATTTGTCTTGTGTTCAACTCAGTGCTGGAAGACTAAGCAACCGGCAGACCAGCTGACCAGCCGGTAGGTATGATGTGCACTGACCACCAGGGGGCAGACGCTCAATGCAGAGCTGCCGAGTGACAGTAACTTTGCAGAGTGCCCTCTTGCACTCCAGGACAACTCGGGGATGTCGGCCTGCCATTTTGGGCAATCCCCACACACCAGGCCAAGGGACCTGTTAGAAAGACCCCGCTCACTCACTCCACGGACGCCCTTTGACCCCCGGTGCCACCCCAGGTGCAGCCGGCTGGGGAAGGACCACAGGAGTTTGGCTCCAGAGTGTGTCCGACCCATCTCACCCAGTCCTGCCTCACCGGCCACCTTCTAATTGATTTCCTTTCAGTGTGCGTGAATTCATGCACTGAGCTTCTAGTTTTTAATGGAGTTTGTGTCTAACAATTTAAAGACCTCTGGCCACATGTAATTGGAGAACAAGAGTTTCCTGAATCTGGTTTGTGTGTTCTCATTCCCTCCCTCCCTCCCTCCCTCTCTCTCTCTCCCTCCTTCAGGGGCAGCCTTCACCTAAAATGAAGTGAGGGTGTCCGGGTCTGGGATGGGAGCAGCTGGAACCTCTTCATGCTTCTCCTGGCCCTTGTCAGCATGTGCCTTTGGGTCATGAGTTCTCTGTTGCGTGTCCCTCTGTGAAATAAGGGTGACAGTAACTTTATGACCCAGTTAGGGTGTCCTCAGTTGCAAGGAACACCGGTAACTGCCTCACACACGAAAATATCTGAGGGTGGGTGAGTCACCTGACTCTGAGCTAATGGTGGCTGGTTAGGTCGGTATCTCAGTGGAGCCCCCCTGTGGCAGCTTCCGCGCATTGCTGGCCTCAGCAGCTTAGTTTTCTGGATTCCCAAATGGCCACATTGAAGATGGCAAGGCAGAAAAGGGGTCTCTTCCACATGCCTCTTTGTAAGGTTTCCTCATGGGTCCCCCCCATCAGACTTCTCTTCTCAGGTCTCAGGTCAGATCGCCATGGATGCCCATCCTACCCCACCCTCTGCTAACTGGAAGAACCCACTCCGAATCAGGACAGTCCACTTCCCCGACAGTTAGCAACCTGTCTTAGGTCTCACCTTCTAACTAAGTAGCTTGTCCGGTGTTCAGTTCCAAAAGGTGGCAGCAGCGCCCCAGGACACAGGACCCAGCCACCGGGTGAGGGCCCGGCAGTGCCCGCCGCTGGCTCGGCAGCCCAGGAGCAGTTCCCAGGAGCGATAGCCAGGATGCCCTGTGGGCCCCCCTGTCACCCGAGTCTTAGCCTCGGAGGTGGGCTCTGGCCCCGGCCATGCTGTTCCCTGCCCAATGTTGGGTGTGTGGCCGGCCCGGAGCAGCTCAGGACTGTCCTGCATCAGGTGCAGGAGGAAGTCATGCTCCTGCAATGGACTTTCCCCTCTTCCTTTGGTGCCTGGGTGGTTCTGGAGGGAGTGGGCCTTTAAGCAATGGAGCCTTGGGTGGTCTAGGCTAGTGGTGGGCAAACTGTGGCTCTTGAGCCACATGCAGCTCTTTGGCACCTTGAGTGTGGCTCTTCCACAAAATACCACGGCCTGGGCGAGTCTATTTTGAAGTGGCATTAGAGGAAGTTTAAGTTTAAAAAATGTGGCTTTCAGAAGAAATTTCAATCGTTGTACCGTTGGTATTTGGCTCTGTTGACTAATGAGTTTGCCGACCTCTGGTCTAGGCTTGTTTTTTGTTTTTCCCCCTAAATAGTTCATGTTTAGCTAAGACAACAGCAAGCGTGTCAGTGGATGTACCTAAGGCACAAGGCGTGTGATTTCCACATGGCAGGGTCGCTCTAGACCTCCCCAGGGCCCTTAGCTCCTCCTGCCATTATCCTGGGCTGAAGGCTGGGCGGTGTGTGCACAGGTCTGGGCTGTAGGCCGGGAGGTATGTGCACAGGACTGGGCTGTAGGCCGGAGGTGTGTGCACAGGTCTGGGCTGTAGGCCGGGAGGTGTGTGCACAGGTCTGGGCTGAAGGCCGGGAGGTGTGTGCACAGGTCTGGGGTGTAGGCCGGGAGGTGTGTGCACAGGTCTGGGCTGTAGGCCGGGAGGTGTGTGCACAGGTCTGGGCTGTAGGCCGGGAGGTGTGTGTGCACAGGTCTGGGCTGTAGGCCGGGAGGTGTGTGCACAGGTCTGGGCTGTAGGCCGGGAGGTGTGTGTGCACAGGTCTGGGCTGTAGGCCGGGAGGTGTGTGTGCACAGGTCTGGGCTGTAGGCCGGGAGGTGTGTGCACAGGTCTGGGCTGTAGGCCGGGAGGTGTGTGCACAGGTCTGGGCTGTAGGCCGGGAGGTGTGTGCACAGGTCTGGGGTGTAGGCCGGGAGGTGTGTGCACAGGTCTGGGGTGTAGGCCGGGAGGTGTGTGTGCATAGGTCTGGGGTGTAGGCCGGGAGGTGTGTGCGGACAGGTCTGGGCTGTAGGCCGGAGGTGTGTGCACAGGTCTGGGCTGTAGGCCGGGAGGTGTGTGCACAGGTCTGGGCTGTAGGCCGGGAGGTGTGTGCACAGGTCTGGGCTGTAGGCCGGGAGGTGTGTGCACAGGTCTGGGCTGTAGGCCGGGAGGTGTGTGCACAGGTCTGGGGTGTAGGCCGGGAGGTGTGTGTGCATAGGTCTGGGGTGTAGGCCAGGAGGTGTGTGCGGACAGGTCTGGGCTGTAGGCCGGAGGTGTGTGCACAGGTCTGGGCTGTAGGCCGGGAGGTGTGTGCACAGGTCTGGGCTGAAGGCCGGGAGGTGTGTGCACAGGTCTGGGGTGTAGGCCGGGAGGTGTGTGCACAGGTCTGGGCTGTAGGCCGGGAGGTGTGTGCACAGGTCTGGGCTGTAGGCCGGGAGGTGTGTGTGCACAGGTCTGGGCTGTAGGCCGGGAGGTGTGTGCACAGGTCTGGGCTGTAGGCCGGGAGGTGTGTGTGCACAGGTCTGGGCTGTAGGCCGGGAGGTGTGTGTGCACAGGTCTGGGCTGTAGGCCGGGAGGTGTGTGCACAGGTCTGGGCTGTAGGCCGGGAGGTGTGTGCACAGGTCTGGGCTGTAGGCCGGGAGGTGTGTGCACAGGTCTGGGGTGTAGGCCGGGAGGTGTGTGCACAGGTCTGGGGTGTAGGCCGGGAGGTGTGTGTGCATAGGTCTGGGGTGTAGGCCGGGAGGTGTGTGCGGACAGGTCTGGGCTGTAGGCCGGAGGTGTGTGCACAGGTCTGGGCTGTAGGCCGGGAGGTGTGTGCACAGGTCTGGGTTGTAGGTTGGGAGGTGTGTGCACAGGTCTGGGGTGTAGGCCGGGAGGTGTGTGTCCATAGGTCTGGGGTGTAGGCTGGGAGGTGTGTGCACAGGTCTGGGGTGTAGGTTGGGAGGTGTGTGCACAGGTCTGGGGTGTAGGCTGGGAGGTGTGCACACAGGTCTGGGGTGTAGGCTGGGAGGTGTGCACACAGGTCTGGGGTGTAGGCTGGGAGGTGTGTGCACAGGTCTGGGGTGTAGGTTGGGAGGTGTGTGCACAGGTCTGGGGTGCAGTAAACTAGAATCAGGGCCAACAGTGCCCTAGCAACAACATAACCCACGGCCGAAGGTGGAATCGCACAGCCCCGTGGGGAATCGGGCTCCCTCCTCTCTGGTTTTGGAGTGCATCACCCAAGAACTGCCACTGCCAAGTCACTGCAGCTCTTGCATTTAGCATCTTCCCTCTGGTGGTCAGTGTGCATCATAGCTACTGGTCAGACGGACACTTAGCATATTAGCCTTTTATCTTTTTTTAAAAAAATATATTTTTTATTGATTTTTTACAGAGAGGATGGGAGAGGGATAGAGTTAGAAACATCGATGAGAGAGAAACATCGATCAGCTGCCTCTTGCACACCTCCTACTGGGGATGTGCCCTTAACTGGAATTGAACCTGGGACCTTTCAGTTCACAGGCAGATGCTCTATCCACTGAGCCAAACCAGTTTCAGCAGCCTTTTATCTCTTACCTAATAAGAGAAACATGCAAATTAACCATTACTCTGCTACTCCCACAGCCAATCAGTGAGTATGCAAGTTAACCCACCAAAGATGGAGGTTAATTTGCATATGCAGGCAGGAGAGGAGTGAAGCCTGCTATTAGGAGAAGGGGGGTGGCGTAGGGAGCTACTGGAATGGTGCTGCAGACAGAAGCGAGGACTTGCTGGCTCCCGGGTGGGGCGGGAGGGAAGCCAGGGGAAGGCATGCCTATTCTTGCACAAATATCGTGCAATGGGCCTCTAGTATATAGATAATATCCGTTCTGCGCATGCGCCTCAGCTGTCCATCCCTCCCTCTGTTGGCGGACACTGCTGTTTCCTCTCCAGGCAGCTTGTTACGTGGGGACAGGACCTCCCATCTGCTCAGCACAGTTCTGGGGGCATTTTCTTTCTTTTTTTCTTTTTAAAAAAATATATTTTATTGATTTTATACAGAGAGGAAGCGAGAGAGATAGAGAGAAACATCGATGAGAGAGAGTCATCGATCAGCTGCTTCTTGCACACCCCCTACTGGGGATATGCCTGCAACCAAGGTACATGCCCTTGACCGGAATCGAACCCGGGACCCTTCAGTCCCCAAGCCGACGCTCTATCCATTGAGCCAAACCGGTCCCGGCTAGGGGCACTTTCAGAAGCCTGAGAGCTGCCTGCCTGAAGTGGGGATGGGTGAGCTTGTGGCTGCTGAGCTTTGCTACTGTTGGCATGTCGACGCGGCCAGGATGAGCACCGTAATGGTTCTCGTGCCGGAACCACGTCTAGTGTGTTCTCTTCCCGTCCGCTTCATAGACTCAGAGCGAACGATGTCTCCAGAGAGGTCATTTCATCGTTCGCTCCCAAGTGTGAAATCACCTCCTGTAGATGGAAGGTTAGCCTATTCTTGAAATTCCCCAGAGTCTGCTGGGTGACCTTGAGCAGGCCATGCCTCACGGGCCTCAGTTTCCCCACGTGCAAAATCATGTAAACCCCCTTGTGAGAGATTGGACAGCCTCCCGGGACTGACAGGCACGAGGCCACTCACACGTCTCTCTCTTTCAGGAGGATCAATCTGAAGAGCCCTCTGCTGCAGCAGGTGCAGGAGCGGCGGAGCGAGGTCCTGTGCGTGCTGACGCAGAGGATCGTGACCACGGAGAAGTGTGTGATCTCTGAGCACGTGCAGGTGGAGGAGAAGTGCGGCGGCATGGTGGGCATCCAGACCAAGACGGTGCAGGTGCGCGCAAGGGGGGCGGCACGGTGGGCATCCAGACCAAGACGGTGCAGGTGTGCGCAAGGGGGGCGGCACGGAGGGCATCCAGACCAAGACGGTGCAGGTGCGCGCAAGGGGGGCGGCACGGAGGGCATCCAGACCAAGACGGTGCAGGTGCGCGCAAGGGGGGCGGCACGGTGGGCATCCAGACCAAGACGGTGCAGGTGCGCGCAAGGGGGGCGGCACGGTGGGCATCCAGACCAAGACGGTGCAGGTGCGCGCAAGGGGGGCGGCAAGGGGGGCGGCACGGTGGGCATCCAGACCAAGACGGTGCAGGTGCGCGTAAGGGGGGCGGCACGGTGGGCATCCAGACCAAGACGGTGCAGGTGCGCGCAAGGGGGGCGGCAAGGGGGGCGGCACGGTGGGCATCCAGACCAAGACGGTGCAGGTGCGCGTAAGGGGGGCGGCACGGTGGGCATCCAGACCAAGACGGTGCAGGTGCGCGCAAGGGGGGCGGCACGGTGGGCATCCAGACCAAGACGGTGCAGGTGTGCGCAAGGGGGGCGGCACGGAGGGCATCCAGACCAAGACGGTGCAGGTGCGCGCAAGGGGGGCGGCACGGAGGGCATCCAGACCAAGACGGTGCAGGTGCGGCTGTGCCAGGGTGTGGGCCCCGGCCAGGCCACAGCGGCCTCACTGGTTCCGCCGTGAGCACGTGGGTCAGGGCCTCGGGGGTGGGGTCTCCATTCACCAGGGCTCTGAGTGTAGCCGTTAACAGAAACCAAAGTGCAATGGGTTTAACGAGGCAGACTTCATTGGCTCCTGAAACCGAAGCCCTCGGGATGACTGGCTTGTCACTGAGGGTCCGGGACTCAGGAGGACGTGTGAGCCGCCTCCCCGGGGTGGGTTCCCATGGCTGGGCTCTCCCCTCGGCTCTCCCCCCACCTGCTCACAGGTCTGAGTGTGCTCTCGCCCACAGGTGTCAGCCAAGGAGGATGGGTCTGTCGTCAAGGACTCCAGCGTGGTGCTGGAGATCCCGGCGCTCACCACCATCGCCTACGGTGTCATCGAGCTGTACGTGAAGCTGGACGGCCAGTTCGGTGAGTGCTGCCTCCTGCCGGCTCCTGGCTGGCTGAGCCCAGGCTGAGGTTCCCACCAGGCTCCCCTGATGGGTTATTTAAAAATCAGCTTGGTCACTTCACTCTCCTGCTCTAACACGTCCCAGGGCTCCATGTCCCAGGAGAAAGCCTTCCCTGAGCGGGGGCCCTGCCCATGCCCAGCCTTCCCCCGCCAATGCCAGTCTGTGATCAGCTGTGACACCACGTGTACAGACGTGCTTCCAGCCTCTGCTGTGTCTGACCTGTGAGTCCTCTGTGCCCACTCACTCCCAAGGAGCCTCCTCCAACACCCCCGCCCCGCCCCACGCGAAGCACAGGGACGGCCATGCCCTGTCCTCTCCCTGGCCCCCAGCGCGGTGCCCGGAGCTGAAAGTGGAAGGACTGGCAGTGCCTTCAGGGGCGGTGCACGGGCCCAGACAGGAGCGGTGCTGGCGCCATAGCTCCCAGAACCAGTTGGGGGATCTGAGGCTGTGGATGGTCTAGTCCTGGCCTTGGGGAGCACAGTCATCCCCTGGGGGTGGCTCACACTCACCCACCTCGGTGCCTGGTGCCCTGAGTGTGGTCCCCTGAGTGAAGGGGGGATTGTTTCACGTCTCAGCCATCCTACCTCTACGAATGCATCAGTGCCCGCAGGCAGAGGGCGGTGTGTGCCGACACCACGCCTCCCCCACGCAGGCTCGGCCACTGTTATCCCATGAATAGGGGCCCAGGAAGCACCCAACTCAGGAGTCACGTGCTGTTTTTGCTCCCATTTCTGCCTACGATTCAGATACCTGAGGATCTCAGACATGGACGTCTCTGTGAGGGGGCAGACGGGTTGCCAGGGCCTTGCCACCCCTCTTTAATTTCTTAAGGGAAATTTCATACATGTTCAAAAGTGGCAAAAGTAACACAACGAACCCCATGTACTTCCTGCTTCAGGAATGAGGGTGACTTATGTTCCATTGGCGATTTCCCGCCTCTCTCCACCCCCACTTCACTGTCTCAACGCAAGGCCTAGGTCAGTGGCCGGCAAACTCAGTCAACTCAAGTATCAACAGGACGACGATTGAAATTTCTTTGGAGAGCCAAATTTTTAAAACTTAAACTTCTTCTACCGCCACTTCTTCAAAAGAGACTCGCCCAGGCCGTAGTATTTTGTGGAAGAGCCACACTCCAGGGGCCAAAGAGCCGCCTGTGGCTCGTAAGCTGTGATTTGCTGACCACGGTCCTAGGTACCTAAAAAAAGGCGGCTTTAAAAAGACTAGTTTTTCACTCAGCATTTTGAGATTCATATAACTGTAGAAATAAGTTCATTTTTTTTTTGCATTCGTTTTGTGCACCTAAAGGTACTGTCAGTAATGCTGTAACAGGATCAGTTCAGTCAAATACAATCTACCAGGTTCAGATACTCCAGCTTCACCCAATCCGGTGGGCTCTGCTGTCTGCTCCGGGCTGGTTGTTGAACCCGGGCTAAGGGAAGGCTGCCGTCCAGGACGCACAGGCGAGCCCCGTGCCAGGACCACCGCTGCCTGGCGTTTCTGGGAGGTGATGAGTGGGGTCGGGCCCCGCCGCGCCTGCAGGAGGGGTCTGTGGGGAGGAGGTGGGCCTCCCTGTGCGGACCTGTCCCCTCCTGTGTTGCAGAGTTTTGCCTCTTAGAGGGGGTGTGCGGCGGCTTTGAGAACGAGAGGAGGATCGACTCCATCTTCCTGGACCCACTGCCCTTCCGAGAGTTCTTGTCTGGAGACATGATGGATGCTGGGGAGAGGCTGCCTGGCCCCAACAGACCGCTGTGCATTTTAAAACCAGGTACGGCCAGCAGGGCGGGCAGGGCGGGAGCTTTGGAGAGCAGAGAGGCGGCGCCTGAGCCAGGCCTGGTCCACGCAGGACGCACCCAGGGAGGATGGCAGGGAACCTCAGTCTGGGGGCCACCTTTGAGGCAGGTTATGTGTAAGAGGCAGGGACTTGGCGTTTGCTTCCATTTTAACATAGAAGCCCGGGTACTAAGAACAGCTGGTTGGCAGCGAGGAGAGAGCCTGAGGTCTGCATCCGTTTCATCCCGGTCCAGGTGCCTGGTCAGGCCCGGCGTCTCCTGGAGGCTCTTGATCACGTGGCCCGAGGCCGTGGGAGCTGGCATGGGGTGGGGGTGGGGGAACGGGAGGACAACCTCTGACTTGCCTGCAGCAACCCCTTCTGCCCCCACAGCAGTTTTAAAACGCTGGAGGGGCTTTGTTTTGGGGGCTGGGTGGGGAGGGCACCATGTGGTAGGAGATGAACCATGGTGATGGGAGAGCAGCTCAGCACAGGAGCCAGGAGCGCTCAGATGTGCTGGCTGGAGGGGAGGAGGGGGCTCCCCAGCGGGGCCAGACCGAAGACACTTTAGTTTCTGTAGCAGAAACAGAGTTGGGAGAAATGGCAGTGAAGGCCCGGTCCCGGGCACGGGTGTGCGCCTACACACAGGCCTGCACGCCCGCTGGCTGGGCTTCCCTCACCAGGAGCTTTGGTCCATCCTTAACCCTTAGTCCGCCATAAGCGTCTATAGACGCAAGTGAATTCAAAGTACCGTGGCGTGTGGGGCTGGTTTCCACTTTGGACGTGTGACAGTTAAGTGGTTAAAAGGATTCTAGCAGAGGCTCCGGCGTCCTGCTGAGGGGGAGCCGGCAGCGGGGCCCACGCACCCTTCTCCAGGACAGACGGGGAAGGAGGGACCGGCAGGGCAGCAGCGTTAGTTGGTAAAGGGTACAAAACGGACCGCGTGTTAGCAGACGGGAGGGAAAGCCGTGGCTCTGAGGCACTGAGGAAGTGCTGACTCGCGTTTAGTACCAGCGTGATCATTACTTCTGTAGGAAGGCGCCTAGATGGCTTTCCCAGAGAAAGAACATTAGACTCACTACTTAGGGCGTCTGGAACGCAGGGTGGTGGTGAACTGATGTCTTCACCTCCACTCCACGGCGCCCGCGGCTGAGGGGTCGGGGCAGAGGCGGGGGCAGCTGGCCAGGCAGCCGGCCATGAGGAGCGCTCTGCGTGGCCCTGAGCCTCTGCTTGCCCCGCAGCCAGGGCGCCGCTGGAGAGGAGCTTCCAGCCCTTCGCGCAGCTGCCGGGGCCGCAGCGGGCGGCGCTGAGGGGCCTCCTGCAGGCGACGCTGTTGGACGCGGAGCTTCTCCAGGCCCTGGAGCAAGTGGTAAGGCCTGCGCGGCTTCGACCTGACCTGAGCCGGAGATAAAAACTGGGTTTAGGTTCCCCCCCTCGCCCCCTCTTGAACACGAAAGCTTTTCCGCTTCTTATCCGGGTCCTTGGTCCTGCAGAAAGGTGGCCGATGCCAGGAATCCAGGCAGGTCCTGGGTCCCTCTGGCTGCTGTAGCAGTGACCACACACTTATTGGCTTAAAATAGACATCGATTCTCTGAAGGCCTGAAGGGTCAGCAGGGCCATGTGCCCTCAAAGGCTGGAGGGGAGACCCTCCCTTCACTCTCACAGCTCCTGGTATTGCTTGGCTTGTGGCTGCATCGCTCCAGTGAACACCTTCTTCCCCTGGCCTTCTCCTCTGTCTCCTCCTCTTCTGTTTCTTTCTTCTTTCTTCTTTCTTCTTTTCTTTCTTTCTTTCTTTCTTTCTTTCTTTCTTTCTTTCTTTCTTTCTTTCTTTCTTTCTTTCTTTCTTTCTTTTTTCTTTCTTCCTTCCCTTTCCCTTTCCCTTTCCCTATCCCTTTCCCTTTCCCTTTCCTTTCCTTTCCTTTCCTTCTTTCTTTCTTTAAATATATTGATTTTTCACAGAGAGGAAGAGAGAGGGATAGAGAGTTAGAAACCTTGATGAGAGAGAATGCCCGATCAGCTGCCTCTTGCACACCCCCTACCAGCAATGTGCCCGCAACCAAGGTACATGCCTTTGACCAGAATCGAACCTGGGACCTTTCAGTCCGCAGGCCGACGCTCTATCCATTGAGCCAAACCAGTCCCGGCCTCTTCTGTTTCTTAATGGACATCCTAGGAGGATTGCATGCCAAGGTCCCCACCTTAATCACCTCTACAAACTCTACTCCAAGTAAGGTCACATTCGGAAGTTCCAGAAGGACATATATTTGGGGACGGGGGAGAGGGGTAGCAACTGTTCAACCCACCACCAGGGGGCTGGCCCGTTTTATCTGGCACAGCCTGGAAAGCGGCCATCGTGTTTCTCTGGGGAGGCTGAGTTCCTTCGCTGTTAGTTGTAGAAATGGTGAGGGACCTGCCAGTTGCCAACCCCGTCCTCCCGGGCTTTCTGCTCCGCTTCCCTGCAGGAGCCGGGGGAGCTGAGAGCCTGATTCCCACTGTCTTTGTTTTTGGTCTTCTTTCTTTTCCTTTATGCAGAGTCTGAGCTCTGGTTTTCTGATTTAATGCTCCATGGCATCCAGGAGAGCATCCATAGTATTTTTCCCTCTCAGAACCAGATCGGGTCAGCAGAGCTTAGCGGCTGGCGATGGAACCAGTCGGCAGCCTGGACGCCCGCCGTTCCTGGGCCACAGAGCTCCAGGGAGGCCGTGCTGCCCCAGGGAGCGCAGATGTTAAAAGCCTCTGCTGGCTTCTCCTTCCTGAAGTGTCTCTCAGGAGGGAAATGTCAGGCCAGCACCGGCTGCCTGGGCGGCGGGGGCCGCGGGCTCTCACACGGATGCATCTGCAATGGCTGGCGGTGCCAGGTGGCCAGGGCGGCTCAGGCTGGCAGGACCGCCCACCCCCACGCTGATGGCTGAGGCTCCCTGGGCCCTGGTGGGGATGGGGCTGGAGTGCTGAGTTTAAAGATTGAGAAGCATGACAGCTCTGCGTGCAGTCCCCCGTCTAGTCCCACCCGCAGACCCCTTGCATTGGCACCTGGCTGTGAGGAGGTCTCGTAGGCTGCTGTCCCTGGCAGACGGCAAAGGCCGGGGCTGCCGCATCACCCAGTCCCTCTCCTCCCTGCAGTGTGACGACGTGGCCAGCGGCCTGGCGCCCTCACAGGCGGTCCTGGGGGAGCTGAAGCCCCCGCAGAGGGAGAACCTCACCGTCTTCCTGCGGCTGGTAGGGTGCAGCGTGCAGGACGGACGTCCGGGCCCGGTCAGCGACCAGCAGCTCTTTTCCGCGGCCTACATCCTGGTCAGCGCGCTCGCAGGTACGGCCCAGGGGTCCCGCTGTGGGACTTTGGTTACTGTGGCACACGGGGCTCCCTCCGCCCAGCGGTCTGCAGAGTCACTGTGGAGTCACAGAGCTGAGCAGGGAGGCCAGGCCGCCCTCCGCTCTGGGCAGAGCCCCCCTTTCCTCCGGGAGGACTGCCTGCGGGAGCCGGCTCTCCTGTGGCAGCCGCTCTGGCTCTGGGGTTCCGGTCCCTCTGACCCTTTACAAACCGCCTCCCGAGCTATTGTCCACGAGGGCAGGGTGGCCGTGGAGCGCGTCCACAGCTGCGGTGAGCAGTGGCCCCTGCCGCCCTCTGCCCAGAGCGGGAAGACCCTCTCCTGGTCCCCACAGCCCATGCAGGGTTCCTCCCTGCACCACAGCAGCAGAGCCCAGGAGTTTCCAGGTTTCAAAGAATTACAAAAGAGCGTGCCTCTCCCAGGCCCATGTGCTGACGAGCCGTACATTACATGCGAAGGACTTATCTGAATGGATTGGGGCTGTGATTACAGCTGCTAATGAATGCAGGAGGCCGAGGGAGCTCACACTGGTCTCTGGGCAGACGAGTCAGCAGGTGGATCGTTTTCTCTCCGTTGCCTCTTCAGTTCAGGCTGCGTCCCGGGGGAGTGGGTCCTTCGGGAACGGCATCCGTCTTCCCGGGGAGGGAGGAGGACCAGTTTGGCTGCACTGACCTGGGTTTCCTCTCCCCGGGGCTTGTCCGTGTGGTGCCCGCACAGTCCTGGTTCCGGGAGTCCGTGTGCCGTCCCCTCGTCAGGCCACACCACGTTTCCTTCCTACAAAGGACTAAAGAAAACCCAGGTCACTGCAGTTACTCCGCTCTCTGACACACACACAATCTATGGCTGACCCATTGAGGAAACGTGCTCTGTGAGGTGTATGAAGGCACACCCCAAATATGCAGTGTACCTCTTCTTCACCAAATTCCAGGTTCTTCCTACTTTTCCTTGCATCCCCCAAGTCTGTGCAGTTCTCCCTGATGGACACATCCTTTGGTGAACACACCTGTTTTTACTCTTCTTTCTGAAAGGCCCTTTCTGCCTGGTCAGCACCACTCATTCACGGGACAGTTATGAGCAGAACCTCTGCCTGGAGCAGGCAGAGCCCGGGGCCAGCTCTGTTCCTACGGATGCTTTTGTTTTTTAAAGTGACTGACTCCTGTCTTCTGCAGAAATGCCAGACAATGGAGCGGCTCTGCTGGGCACCTGCTGTGAACTCCAGATCATTCCTACACTGTGCCACTTGGTAAGGAAGGGACCTGGGGGTGGGCAGTGACAAGATGAACACCTCACAGCTGATAAACATTTCGTCTTTTTCATCAGCAGCCCTTCTAGATAGGTTACACAGGTCTTATTACGTCCACTTTTTTACATCCACCGATGGCACACACCCTACCTGAGAGAGAGAGAGGATTTGCTCAAAGCACTTGCCCATGGACTCCAAGCCTTCTGCAGCACTGCAGGGCAGGAGCCAGGCCTAATACTGAGCTCTGCACCACATTCCCCTGAGCACGCAGGGGACTGATAGTCTCCGAGACGCTTCATTCTCTCTCAGGACTGTCATTAGCTTTGTGCCCTCAGGAGATGTCACGGCTAGACCAAGAGTTAGGTAATGAGGAGCTTAGCTTAATCTCTGAGATTCAAGATTAAGCTTTTCCTCTCTAACCCACAAAGTGGGTCACTGATGGAAGGAAATGGGGCGGCTCCTGCAGGGGTTGCTCAGCCTGGGTCAGAGCCACAGAGCACACCTGCCTGGGGGCCAAGGCCAGCCTGCTCTGCAGGCCCAAACCTCAGAGCGCGGCTCTCAGATCTGGGAAGCAGACATTGGGGCAGACCGCCCAGCCAGGGCCCTGAGATGGGGCACAACCGGGGAGATGTGAGCACGGTGGCTGGTGCCTCTGGCACTGTGCTGCACAGGAGAGGCGTCTGAGGAGTGCGGCCGGGCACCGCGCCAAGGCGGGTTAGTGTCACTCACCACCAGCAGCTCCACCGCCCGGGGGAAGGCTGCATTCCTGCTCCGACCACAGAAAGGGTAAAGGCTGGTGGTGAGTGAGGTTGCGGAAACGATGTGTCCCAGCTGCCGGGCTGGCTGCGGCAGCCCAGCTCCGTTTTCACAGCAGAGTGCTCAGCGAAGCCCCTCTTCCTTCAGGCAGCCCTAGGCTCTGCCCTGTGTGCCGCTTGCCAGTGTGCTCTGCTGGGGGAGGAGCAGCCCCTAGGATTCCCGAAGGGCTGCACGCTACTCGGCACAAAACTCCCCACCCACAGAGTCCTCTGTCCGCCTTCGTGGACAACAGGACAAACCCTTTAAAGAAAAGACCTTCCTGGGCGTCTTCACACAATCGCCCCTCCATACAGCAACGGCTCTTCAGGCGGCGAGGGTCTCGCCTCCTGTCTGGAGGAACTTGGGCACTACTTAGAAAGGGTTGTAGGCACCTACCTTGTCTGGAGGCTTCCCGAAGGCCTTTGGGAGAAACACACGTGCCAAACTGGTAAGAAGGCGAGTTAAAACCATCCAGAGTTAATTCCTCTCTCACACACACCTCCCCCTGTGACTGCCTTCGCTTTCATACCCAGAAGCGCCTCTGGGCGCAGGGTTGGCAGAGGCTCAGAGGAGGAAGCTGGATGCTGCCCAGCACGTCTCCCTCTTCAGCTGTGCCCACGAGCTCGGTCTTAAACGGTGGCCCGTGAGGCTTGTGCTGAAAGAGCAGGTTAATCCCCTCTCTGAAGCACAGCTGACAGCTCACCGGCCGGCCCACATGGTCACGCTAAGCCTGTGGTTTCACTGCGGGTTGTATTTGGCGCATCTACAAGGCACAGGCTTGTGAGGCTGACTGATCATGGGCACCTGCGTGCCTTTGTGTCCCAGTGAGGGCCGCCCTCACGTCTTTGGTGAGGTGCCATTGCTGAGGACACTTCGGGAATTCTTTACTATTTTAAATTTTACTCTCTACATTCCTAAACTGACCTGGTCCCAAACAGCTGTTTAAAAATCAAACCCACTGGCAAATCTATAATTACTGAAGATGAAGTGTCACAGGCACCATCAAGACTCCAGAAAGCAATGTTTCAAACGTTTTCGGCGGCTGCAGTCAGAGCAGCGGCCTCTCTGAAGGTCTGGTTCTGGGCAGGTGGCGGGTGGACACAACAGGCCGGGTTTCGGTTAAGGACGAAGCAGTGACTGTCGGGAAGGGAGCTGCAGACAGAGGGGCAGATGGAGACGGGTTGGTGGAGTGCTGGTGGCTGGGCTGTGGGGAGGGGGTTAAGTCAGGCCCTTCTCATGCTGCATTTCAACCAAAAGCCGAGAGACGAGACGAGAAGGTAGGTCTGTGTGGAACTCGAGGGAGAGTCTCCAGGCGGAAGGAAGGACAGGCTCCTGAGGCAGGAAGCACAGAGTGAGCCATGGTGCCTAGCCCTTGGAGGAGTTCGTGCACATACTCTAAAACCTTCATTTAAAAACCAAACAAGTCTTACATACGTGTGTTCTACTGGCGTAAGATCAGAGTGCAGGGGGCGGGATTCAGACAGTGCTCCAGGTGCCAGCAGATTGGAGTCACAGGCCCGGTCACACACATCCTGTTACATCTTCATCAAGGGTTTTCTGCTACGTTTGGGAAGTTTAAACAAACCCGCTTCCATAATTAGCTAGACACGCATTGCCACCCGGCGCTGAGGGTTCCTGTGACGTGTTTCAGTGAGTGTCTGGCCTGTGCCGTTCCAGCTCGGCGCGCTGTCTGCGGGCGGCCAGGCGGACCTGGAGGACGGAGCGCTGGCTCCCCTGAGGGACGCGGAGCCGTTCGGGATCGTGCAGCGCCTGCTCGCCACGGTCGGCGTGGCCCTGGAGCGACAGCAGTCGGCCGTCAGGGCGGTCACCTACGACGTCCCCGACCTTGACCTGTCCCCGCTCGCTCTGTACGTGAGCCTGAGCGGGCTCCGCGCGCTGGGCCCAGCACAGCAGTGAGCCGCCGGGGACCCCGAGCTCGTCCCAGCCGGCTGGGCGCTTCCCACTCCGTTCAGCCACCGTGGGCGTAGGCCAGAGCCAGCTAAAGGTCAAGGGAATGAATCCACAAAAGAACTTCAGGAGTGAGTTTCTGCACTCACTGTCACCCCGAGGTCAGCCACCAGGGACCCTGTGAGCGGTTTCTTTTTGGGAGAGGCCCTCCCTCCTGTGCTCCTGTTACACAGAAACAGATGGGGCTGACACTTTGATCCAAAATTCATTGGATCAAAATACGCTTTGGACATTCTGTATGCTCTCCAGTGACTGAACAAGGGAGTGGGAATGCCACTGGAGCACATATATTCTGCTGAATAAAATTATACTAAAAAAGCCTAATAGCAGGCCGCCTTTCCGAAGGGGTCTAGCAACATGCAGTTTACCTGAATTTGCTATGCTTCAAAGAACGTACTAATTCTGTGTCACAAACAATGTGCTGACTCCCCACGCACGATGGCTGTTTAATTTATAAAATATAATGTCAAAGGAGTCGGTGTGGATTTTGCCTTTTCTCGTTCCCACGGCCTTCGATAGTTAGCCGGGGCCGTCTCCGGGCCATTGCCGCTGTCCCGGACCGGCGGCCCCCGCTCACCCTCCGCGCCACCGAGGGCGCCTGCTGGCGGGGGGGCTGCCCGGGGGGGGCACAGGCGGGGGCGGGGGGGGGAAGCGTGGTTAGATACGTGCTACGCGGAATGTTTCCCACCTCATCTTCCTGCTCTGAAGGTTTTAATGCTAATGAAGCAACTACCCTTTCATCGCCTCGGAAAAAGGAGAGCCATCCCTGGGCGAGCACTGGCACAGATAAACCTGTGATCCGCGAGGAGAGAAGGATGCAGCGGTGCACGCTGTGGCGGCAACAACATAAAACACAAGCGCCTCGAGCACAAATTAGAAAGGAAAGTGAAAACAGTGCTAAAATGGTGTCTTTTGTTTATATTTTATTTCAGAAAAACACCGAACTGTAAATGGGGTGTGTAATGGGAGTCTACTTGTGTGAGAAGCAGAGACACAAGTACGGCCATGCATGGGACAGAAACATCCCTCACGAGTTCACCAGAAGCCAATGGGCTCCTCCGGACGGGAGGGAGAGGCTGGGCAAAGGCGGGAGAGGGGTGGCTCGCCCTTCCATTCCTGGCAGAGCTTGGTATGCACGGTCCTCTAGACGATAACAATAAGAAAGTCTAAACCAACGCGCGTGCACACGGACAGACGTTAGACAGACAAGAAGGTGCTGTCCCAGCGAGTGTAAGAGCTTGCGCCACGTCGGACAGGCGACTAGACTGAGGCGTTTTGTCTCTAGCCGTTCCACAGCTGCCCAGCACGGGTCAGCTACCTGCTGGAGGGTGTCTTAGGGCTCAGCTACCGGGAAGGAGGCAGCCTGAGGCTGTCCCAGGTGCTCCTGGCCCCCAGAAGGAGAGCAGAGCCTGTTTTAAGCTGCTGACTTTGTGTAATTATTATAGTTACCGTGCCGATAGAACTCTCACAGGGAGTAAAGGACAAGTCCTCACTTAATGGCGTCCACAGGTTCTTGGAAACTACGACTTTGTGCCAAACACCAGGTAATGTAGTCATTTTAAACCATAAGCTGACCGACATTCCTATGGCCTATTCCTGGTCACAAAAAGCATCACCACACTTCTAAGTAAAGATCGCAAACACTTCAAATATTAAACAGTGAAACAGATGTGAGCTATTCAAACATGTAAGGAAGAGGAATAAAAACGAGACCTATTTTCCAAACCGACGATGCCAGCTCCTGGTCCTGGGTGGCTGCATCCTTCACGGTGGAAGCCACCTGCCCAGGCCCTTCCATCGCAGGCCGCTCGCACCCACAGCCTGGGGCGTGCAGACACGCCATTAACCCGGCACGCCCATCACGGGGATGTGGGAGGAAACGCACACCCAGAGAAAACCCACCACAAACCCCACAGACGGTGGCTCTGGCCGGTGATCCATTTCCCTCACCAATGTGAGGATGAAACGACAACGGATGAAACCACGTTAACCCGGGCACTGCTGTCTGTATGTCACGCCGATTCTCTGGGAGACATCAGAAATACACGGAACTGGCAGTTTCTCAAGGATGAGGTACAGGATCCCAGAACCCAGCTGCAGGGGAAAGAGGAGCCAAGTACCTTTTCATGGTGCTTGGAGCAAAGTACCTTTTTCATGGAGCCAAGTACCTTTTCATGGTGCTTCCCCCATGCACCATGGTCACCCTCCATCATCGCTGGGCCAGCGGGTGGGTCCACCTTCTCACAGCAGGGCTGGGCCGAGCTGCCTCCATAGCCACCTCTCCCACCGGGTGTCTCTGGCCGCGGGCCTGGCAGCATCCTGTGCCCTCCGAGCAGAGGCCTCTTCTTGATCCTGCACTTTAACCTTCTCTGTCTTGGACTTCTTTCCTCAAGTATGCCGTGTTTGAAACTTGGGCTGGCAAAGAAGAAACAATGGTTAGGGTTTCCTTGCTAAAGAGGGGAGAGGCAGGTGAAAATGTATAAAACTATATTCAATTAGAGGAATTTTATAAAAACTATTAGCATTTAAAAGAAGTTTCCAAAGCTAACCTCATAGACTCCGTGTTTTACTGAGCCTCGCGGTTCTACTTGTAAATGAAACACTACGTTTTTCCAATATTAAATATTTATTTCTTTTTACATACAAAAATATTTTACCAGGCATATGGCATTTCACAGATTGAACACTTCAATAGGTTTTGTTTGGGGCAGTATCTGGAAACATGTGAAAAGAAAAATTGTATAGGGACAGCTTCTGCAAAATCAATAGTCATATTACAGAAAAAAATTTTTTTTTACAAGGACAGTAATATTTCTTTTACACGGGACTTGGCAATACAATTACTTGGAAAGCAGTAGCAATTAGTTTTTGTTTTTAAACTTTTTCATCAGAAACTTTAGCAGCTTGTTTAGCTTGGATGTTTAGGTTGCCAACAAGGTTTTGTCCTCAATTAAAAAAAAAGTAAATCCTACAATCACTTCTTCAGACTAGAGGTTAAAAAGGAGCATGCATCTGTGTCCAAAATAAAGGCATACCCAAATGGAACGGGGGATCCCCCAAAGCAGGTTCCCACAACAAACACTCGTCCCGGGCCCTCCGGGACAGGCAGGAAATGACGCTGGTGCCACCCCTGGTGCTCACTCATCTGCAGCAAAACCCCAGGTGCCACTTCCTATCCCACCAGTGCCATTGCAGGCGGGGCCGGTTCTCTTTTAAAGTCGGCACACGGCCGAGAGCACGGTCCTTCTGGCGTTTCAAGGACAGATGGAGGTGAGCTCTCCCTTGAGTCTGGTTCTGTCTGGAAACACAAAGGCATTTCCCATTTGGACTGTGTTTCCAGAACCAGCTCTGCTCCGAGCAGTGTGCCTCACCGCTGCCCTCTCCTGTGTAAGGAAAACCACATCCTCGTACTGAGAGGTCTGCGATGCTATGCGTCTTCCCTCCTCCACGCTCCCAGGCCCCCTGATGTGAGGAAAAGCGTTTCAGGCGCAGCCTGTCAGGTGTTTGTCTCTCCCTGGCTTGCTATTTCTGACCTCAATGTCCGACCTTTAAAAGCAGACCTCTGGGCCTCTGCTCTGTGGTGGCCTGTTCAGGGGGACCCCAAACAGGCTTACAAGCATCTAGCCTTTCCTCTCCCAAGTTACAAGCACCATTTACGTTCACTGTAGATGTGTCATTTCATTTGTGCTGAAGATTAGAAAATAGTGAAAGCTAGTAGTAAAAAAAAAAAAAAAAAAGAGAGAGAGCAAGAGAATCTTCGCTTCTGACAGACGGCCTTTGGGTGGGGTGTCAGTTACCATCCTAACGCTGCCCCGCCAGCCAGCCAGTGGCCACGAGGGCTCAGAGAGGCTCCCTGAAATGCATTCGGTCACCCATGACCTGAGAAGCAGACCCCCTTCAGACTCGGTACCATCAGTTAGACAGCATGGGATGTGGCGTTAAGAACAGGGTAGAGCCACTTTGTGGGGCAGAGATCAGTGTGGCTTGTGACGTGAGAGCACTGGGCTGCTTAATTGATCTGTGAGCGGTGTGGGCGGCAGCGAGGACTTGCTAAGCGTTTCAACCTGGAAAGGGATTCTGAACTAACACGGACCTCCTGCCCAGGGCCACTGAGAGCGGGACAGACCCTCCTCCGGCTCAGAGCGGTTTTAAAGCTGGAGGCCAGAGTCCAGGACAGTGTGCACAGGTCTGTTAGCTCCGGAAGAGGCCACTTGAACAGGAGGAAAAGGTCAGGAACTTCAATGCTAGGGCATACATGTAACAAACAGACCAGGTAGACTTCCTGGTTTAGCAGTTACCACATCAGAGCTACAGATTACGTTCTGTAATGTAAGCTGACGACAAATAGTAAGTTAGCCTTATTTAACGATGGAGTATTTAAAAGTAAAGGGACACAAAAATGTTACTAAAGGCCAGGAGTCAGAATTAGGATCTCAGTCATTTTTATCTAAAGAAGATAGTGCAGTATAGTGCAGAAGTGAAAATTATGCTTTTAAATTCTTACCTTAGATTGTGATATCATCACTTCCTTCACTATTTTTTGGCGATTAAAGACTCACTTTTTATTCTGTGCACTAAACCATTCCAGGAGCACAGAAAGTAACATGATAGATTATGAGAAATATTTTAAAAACGAATAAAAGTTGAAGCTAACAAAAAATTATTTAAAAAATAATCTTACCTTAAAAAATTACATAACTGTTATCTTCCTCAGCTATACAATGTCTATTTACATAAAAATGAATATGATGCTGAATTATTAGTCAATGGAGTTCATTCTTAAGTTTGTGAATAATTTTCACTTGTACTATATATAATAATCTTATCATTAAAATAGTGAATCTGTCCTAAGAACTCAAAATACATTATAAACGTTATTACATGAATTCTCACAGCACATCCTTTGGAACAAGAGGCGGGCAGGAACCATAATCGCTAAGCCTGTACCAGGTAATGGATTCATTAGAAGGTCTAAATAAGAATTTCCCAAGAGGTTTCCGTCTAGCATTCTTTTTCCTTATGGAAATTAAGTTCAATGCTAACTTTATGGGCTTAATACTTCATTTATCTTTCAAAAAGGAGAATAGTACCTGACTTAAGGTAAGCCCTTTCAAACAAAGTGAAAAAAGTTCCTGAATGCATGAGAATTTGGAAGTAATCAACAATTTAAGAATATTGGTTATAATTACATGGGTGAATATATTTAGTTTTATTATTCATGTATTTTGGAAGAATTTTACATAATTTACACATAGCTGTGTGTGTGTATGTGTGTATGTGTATATATATATATATACACATACACACATACATACACACACATACACACACACACATACATATATATATATATGGTGACTCAAACGTTTAAAAAATGACCTGCTATCTATATACACAAAATTTCAGGATTGCCTTTTTCGTATTTAGTATAAAGGTTCATTATTAAAAAATTATTGGCTCTCTGGCCTGTGATTTCTGGAAAAATTGAATATTTTTTCAGACGTTGTAAAAGTGCAATGTTAAACAGGTCATTATTTTGATCAATTTTCAAACTTTTATGCTAAACTTCATGGCTATCCATCTTGAAAATCAACCCCAATCACGATTGTAACACTTGTTATACATAAAAATAAAAAAGTTCATCGCTATTGTTATTAGGATATTATGGTCAAAACAACTAGTATCTGGCCATAATCTATAATGCCACATTATTGTATTTTATTGTATTTATTGTATTTTATTGTATTTTATTGCCACATTATTGTATTTGTATTTTCTAAATTTGTATTATCAATTTGCTCTTTTAAGGAAAACGTGTCCTTATCAGCAATTATAAGTAAATTTTGCTAAATTATAGAATTTAGATTCAAGCTACTTTTGCTGTAGTCATATTGGATTTATGAAAACGATTTTAGTAAGCTATGCTCAGCAATTGTATAGTTAGAATTGGCAAGAGTAAATCAAGCCCTGATGTACTGGATACTTGATATTACCCAAGCATCAAAAGGAAATCGAGAATGCACAATCAAGGCATGGCTGTAATCAAGGTAAAATCCAACTTACAGAACATCACATATATCCCAGTAGTTAGGGTTAAACTTAACCAGAGACATCAACTCTGGATACTTTTACATTTGAAAGTAAAAGACATATGTATAGCTACTTGTATATAAATAGTCATGCCCTGCCGAAACCTATTTGGCTCAGTGGTAGAGCGTCGGTCTGCGGACTGAAAGGTCCCAGGTTTGATTCAGGACCAGGGCATGTACATTGGTTGTGGGCATATCCCTGGTAGGGGGTGTGCAAGAGGCAGCTGGTCGATGTTTCTCTCTCATCGACGTTTCTAGCTCTCCCTCTGTCTCTCTTCCTCTCTGTAAAATATCAATAAAATAAATATATTAAAAAAAAAAAAAGTCATGCCCTGAATGAGGATACTCGCCTGCCCACAAGGAATACTCAGGCCATTAATGTCCAAACAGGCACAGCATGTTTCCCAAAAGCATACACGTGTGTGCGCACGCACTGTAACTATTGGCAATCTTTCAACATCAGCAAAGCTAATCGCCTTAGCCCTCCTCGCTGCCGCGGGAGAATGCTGGGCCCACTGGGACTGCTTGCCCCGAGATCGCCGTGGTTCCTGCAGACTCAGGTCCAGTGGCTTTTCTGAGATACATTAACTTTTCTACATGTATTCTCTTCACCTCTGGCTTCTAGACTGAAATGAACTACATTGTGTTGCTTACTTCATATTAGTAGGGAACTAGTGTATATTATCTAAATACTTTCTGATGAGTACCGTTGACAATAGAAATAATTTCTTTACATATAGACTACTTTCTAAATAATATGCCCTTTATCCCATATGATAAAGCTAAAAATACATATGATGTAAAAATCATCTCTATTTTGCCAAGATGGTTGAAGTAATTGTGGATAAGCTGTCTGTGCTGCTACAAGGACCCAAAGCTGTTTGCAGATGAAGGCACATGGAGAACATGGAAATGAAATTCCTCTTAGAATTTACAACGTGTGGGAACACTGAGCCACAGGACCTCACCTCACCACTGGGCTTGGATTCATGTAGCTTGGAGAAGCCAGTAATGTGACATAAATATAGGCGGCTTAAAAGTTATCCAAGTTATTAAGTGAATGTGATACCTTTGCCACCCATTTCCTATCCTAGGACAAAGAACATGGAGTTGTGTTCTGGATATGAAATCCTGGAATTTAAAAATATCTATGGATTTCCACTCTTAAAATACAGCAACTTGCGAGTTTTGTTTTATTGTGAAAAGGTTTACAACAGTGTGTGTGCCACTCACCGCCTGCATTACCCCTCCAGCTCTGTAACAGGCACTCCACGGGACAGCTCTGGTGACAGAAAGCCTGCAGCAGCCAGGTGCCCGGTGCCTGCCACCAGACAAAGCACCACCACCACCATTGGTTCAGTCCCTAACCCTTCAGGTGTGAGGACTTCCGTGTGAAAAGCTCACAGCAATACAGAACATTGTTGACTTAGTTTGATGATGAGCAGTGTCTCTGAATACTTTTCAGGAAGAATTCATACCATCCAAGAATCCTAACGGAAGATATTAGTAACTGAGGTTGACTTGGAAATTTGTATATATTAGTGCATCTCGAGGAGAACTGGTCTCTCCTTGCCCCAATCATTAAATAAAAATGCATTTCCTTACAGAAATGTAAAACATTTTTATATTATATTATATATACAATGTATTATATACAATGTATATATTACATAATGTATATGTTATACATAGGTAAAACAGCTGACTATTATTTCCAAATTTTAAAACTCATTCAGTGGTCTGGGTCCTCTACACAGCAAAGCGAACAAATGACCTTCGTGATCACATCCTCCTCAGAAAGCACATGGCTGTTCACAGCCCCACCACATCGCCACCTCAGAGCATCTTCACGCGTCACAGAAACATGCAGAGGCATGATACAGCTGCTGACCATATCCTAATAAAAACCTGTATAAGAAGTTTGTTTTGTCCACTAGTTTTACCTGTGAGAAAAAAATAAATGGCAAGTGTCATTCTGCTGTTTCACAGGAGGCACTCTCTGAGCCCACCCAGCCTGCTTGCTGTGTACATGGTAACTTAACATCAGCCAGTCTTTGTGACAAATGTGAGTGCTAGGTATTGCTCTTTGTTTTTTCACTAAAGATAGAAATGAAGGGTGGAAAAACCCAATATATCTGCATAAATCAGAACGGACAGCCACAGATCTCTGAAATGACAAAGCTATGTAGCATGGAGCAACTTCTGATATCAGATTTGGATGGCGGTAGACTTTCTATGGCACTAACATTCAGGGTCTGCTTCTTTAAGAAATTATATTAGGAAAGAAGGCCAATAACGATTATTTTCTAAAGTGACTTTCCCCTCATTTGTTAAATACTGAGCTAAATGGCAACTTTACAAAACTATTTCAAGTATTCATTATCACAGTGAAAATGTGAGACCAAGGTTCGAATGAATGAGTTGGAACTTCTTGTGATGGAAAAGGCAAGGGCACTAAATCAAAACATATACAAAATGCTTCAACGCATTTTTTTATGTGATATGAATAGATTGTCCATAAAAAGTTAGAAAAATTAAGATAAATTATATATCAGTACACCTTCCCAACCGCTGTGTCTATAAAAATTGGGAAGAGTGTACGGGCATGTCAGTCTGCGGCAGGACGCCCGGCCGGGGCAGGCCTCTCCTCGGTGCACGCGCTTCTCGGTAGCGGGTTATTTGCTGTAGTCACTTTCTAAGAGCTGTGTTTTAATTGTGAACCTTATTGACTCATCAGTACACCCAGCTGATGGGGACCCACTGTGGCTCCATCCTCAGGTTCTCTATGGCAGTCTGTAGTTTCTCGAAGGCTTTGTCTAGATTGTCGTTGACAATGATCAAATCAAAGTAGTGGTTGTATGCTCTCTGAATTCGCGCACTTTCATCCACTGTTTTCTTCAAGTCAGAGTCCTGTTGAAGAGTTTTAAAAGGAAATGTTTTTATTATAATGTATATTTACTTGTTTAAATAGCAGCTCAGAGTGAAGGTAAGAAATTAGTAGCTTGGATAATTTTTCATTGTGATTTTGATATTAATTCTAAAAATCTAATCCATAGAGGGTTAAAAAGACATTACTACCTGTTCCTGTTCCCATCTTCCCAAACGCGTTCATGTTTGTGCCTGTGAGTACCCTGTATCTTCTGTTTCATTGACATTAGGATAAGATTCCTAATTTAAAAAACTGCTGGCAATAATTTTAGGATGAAATCTAATGGACTCTAGATTATGGAACCCTATTTCTAGTGACTGTTAAGCTCAAAGCTAAATTTTCTGCCTATTTTCAAGAAAGAGAATCTTACAAGTGTATTTTGAAGACTAACTTCACATTATTATTTTTTTGCTAGTATTATTTATATATCCTAGAATATTTCTAGTCATTTTAAAATAATGTGGGGGAATAAATAATGGGTTCTACACAACTAAGAAAAGCTTTTACAAGTGTTTTGAAATTTCACAATTCTACATGCTCTTCAAATACTTATTGAGTTTCTATTAAAGTGTCTACTGTGTTTCATTATTTATGGATAGAACAATGAATAAATGGGACAGAGGGGGTTCCTACCCTACAGTGAAGGAGACAGATGAAGGGCAAATAAACACAAGAACTTGTGAGTTGTAGTAAGTTCTATAAAAGAAAATAATCAGGAACAACACATTTTCAGGGATCTACTTACAAAGATACCGAGTACATCACTTTTAAGCTGAGAACCACAAATGGGAGAAAGAATATTCTTTCAGAGAAAGAATTTATTGCAGAGAAAACAGCAATGCTAAATCCAAGCGGGAAATGACTGGATGTGTAAGACACCAGGAGGCCCAGACAGTCAAGGGCTGAGGGGAGCAGTAAGGTGAGATGAACACGGAATAGGTCATGAAGGACCCAGACACAGTAGAGACATCCCTGGATTGTGATGGTGGCAAAGGTATGGGAATGACCCACTCTATTTACCTCTGCTGGTGACAAAATCATTAGGATTAGCTGACGGGTAGATGTGAAAAGTGAGGAAAATGACTGAATGGAGATGCTCTTGGGTCTCTAGCATGAGCTAAGCGGGTGTGTGTAGAAGACACAGAGTTGGGGAATAGGGCTGGAGAAAACATGATTTTTTGGGGGTTGGGGGATGGAGGAGGGAAAGCAAATGTTCTACTTTGTACATGTTGAGTTTAAGATGCCTGTAAGACAGCCAAGTATGCTAGTCAAAGCTCCGAGGCCTGAGTTACCTATATATAAATCAGGAAAAGGACAAATGGTAGGAGGAAGTAGCACTGTTAACCTAAAGAGAAGTGCTCACCGTCAGAAGCTTGGTGGCGATGCCGGCGTCCACCACGGCTTTGTGCATGGCGCGCAGCGTCTCCAGCTCCGGGGCGGCGATGAAGACCACGTAGGGCATGAACTCAGACGTCCTCAGCACCTTCAGGGCCTGTGCAGGACAAGAGCCACACACCACATACACAGGATTGGAATCTGTATAATTTCCCTTTTCTTTTCACTGAGTAACCAAAGTCTACCTGCCTCTTCCTAAGGATTAAGAACATAATTTAACACTTGCCCTACTTCCATCCTTTGACTCCATACAGTACTTCCTGGAAACAGTGATCCATTAATTGTGTTCTGACCTCTCTACCCTTTGAGCTTCCCGAACAGAGGAAAGCGTTACATTAATGAAGTAACCAAAAGCCGGCAAGCCTGCTGTAAATGTTTTTATGTTAATGGTGGGATTCTGCTAATACTGAAAAAGCTAGAAATAACTTAAGTGTCTACTAGCTGGAGAGTGGTTACATAAGTTAAGATATGTCTATATTAAGAAATACTATGCAGCAGTTACAAAGATTAAAAAAAGCTCTACAGTAATCAACATGAAAAGGTCTTCAAGAAACATTCAATAAAAAGAACTGAAGAATTTGTATAAAATTTTTCATTTATATAAAAGTCTCAACAAAAATAGAATACATTTTATATATAGAATACATTTTATATATATATATACACACATGTATATAGATGTGTGTGTACATATATAATATATAGTGTCCCCAAAAGTGTATACACGCTCTAACAGCTGATAGCTATTAAAATGAAATGTATTTTAATGAACACTGCTTTTATAATTATTCAAAGTGTGTGTATACATTTTTTGGGACACCTTGTATATATACACACACGTCATTTTTTACTTACGGCATACTAAAAAGACAGGAAGATACACACCAAACTCAATAATATTTACCTCTGAGTAGGAAAGTGAGATTAGGTTGAAAGCAGAAGAGTGGGAAGGGGTCGGTGAGAGAGACGCGGAATGGAATGAGAATGAAATGAGTGTGTGTGTGTGTGTGTGTGTGTGTGTGTGTGTGTGTGTTGAGTGGGAAGGAGCATGACTGCAAATTTTTTCCTTTTTATCTTTAATTTATTTTTTCCCCTTTTTATCTTTAATTTAAAACATTCTTTCAACTACAGTTTAAATTCAGTATTATTTTACATTAGTTTCTGGTGTACAGCACAGTGGTTAGACAATCATATACTGTATAAAGTGTCCCCCCGATATTTCCAGCACCAAACCGGCACCATGCATAGTTACTGCAATATTACTGTCCTTTAGATCCCCATGACTATTCTGCAGCCTGGTTTAAAGGTTAAATTTCGCATGTTCTAATGTATGCATTCATGTATTACTTGAACAAGTACTAAACAAATACTGACCTTCTGCCATGTGTCTAGTGCTTGGTGACTTGGTCAGAGATTTATTTAACTAGTGGATGCATAAGATGGTTCTCCATCACCAGCAGGTAATGGAGGGAAAGAGCTACCTTCACAATCTCAAATCAAAACGGAACAAAAACTCCACGGGAAATAAAATTTAAAATCAGCTTTGGAATCCACGCAGCTTACTTGTGGGTTGACATCCAAAATGCAAGTTCGTCCAGTTTGGACAACTTCAAGAATAGAGTCAATCTTGGTTCCATAGAGATTTCCTTCATATTCCCCATGTTCCAAATATTTTCCAGCTTTAATATCTGCTTCCATCTCAGACCGTGACACGAACTTATATGCCTGGCCATCTTTTTCATCTTCCCTTGGTTTCCTTGAGGTAACTAAATAAAATTATGCCGAGAATTTACACAAAGAGAAGGCAGGATTTTAGAAAACAGACTAAAATGAACAAAGTAGCTTAAGATACTTCCATTTAGTGCCTACGGCCAAATCTGGCCTGCTTCCTATTTTTGCAGATCAAGTTTTATTGGACCATAGCCACGCTCATCCTTCTTACCTACGTTTCACTTGTTTTTATACTGGTGGAGGAGTTGCAGGACAGACTAGATGACCTGCAAAACCTAAAATATTTACCATGTGGCCCTTGAGCAAAATAGTTTGCTGATCCCTGATTTATAGGAATGCTTTAAAAGGTAGTTCCCAATATACAATTTGTATTTTAAAAAATGTGCTTGATAAGGTCAGTTTGAAACTCAAAATATAGTTACCCGGAAGCAGAGTCCTGCATTTAAATTCTTAATTATGGTGAATCCTGGTAAGTGTGAGGTATGTTGCAAGTGAATACCTTTTCCAGCTGACCTGCGCTTACTCCCCACTTTCCTCAGGAATATCAATATGTCCTCTCCTGTCACTTAACATTTCCTAACTGAGTGCCAAGCCACTGAGCAGATCTCCTATTCTTAGTTGGTATTATCAATTTTCTAAAGTGTACTTTTACCCACAAATTATCCTTTATTTTGCCTGTGTACCTGTATTTCAGCTTCCTGCCTACTTATTCTCCTAATTATTATATTTTGTGCTTTAGTGGTGGAACTAGTCACACCTCAAAGTTATTAAGGTCTATTAACTTTCTCTATTTTGATCTGATATGTGTATTCTTGCTCAAAGAATGAGAACAAAGAAACCAAGTGAAAATTTAGAGGATATTTGGTCTGACATTGTAGAGCTCCAAGTACTTTCAGAGACATACAACTCCCCTCAACGGGGGCCCCGCTAGAAGGACTGTTATCACCCCTCACACTGCTGCAAAGAGGCAGAGTTAGGTCGTGCCCTCTGCCAGCCTGTGAAGACTAGCTTGGAAGGAGGAAAGGGAGGAGGGGGCACACACAAAAGAGAGATTCTTTCAAATTTAGCCTTAATCTGAGCTTGGCTGGATCAGATGTAAAAAAGTTTTCAACTTCTAATCAAATACACATGCAGAATATCGGAAGAAACCATTAAACACATACCCTTAAAATTAGAAAGTAATCCAAATCAAAAGTTGATAGTATTTAAACTATTTGTAATAAACATGAGACATCAATAAAACTTTTATAAGAACAAAATGAACTTCAAACTCAATAAATCAACAAACAAGTGGTGCCGAGGATGTGAAGAAAAGGAACAAGCCCTGTGCACAGTCGGTGGGAACATAGGCTGGTGCAGCCAATGTGGAAATCCGCATGGAGTTACCTTAAAGAATCAAAACCGGAACTGCCTTACGACCCAGCGATTCCATTTCCAGGAATATATTCGAAGAAACCCAAAATACTGATTCAAAAGAATATATGCACCCCTGCATTCACTGCAGCATCATTACAGTAGTCAAAATGTTTGGAATCAGCCCAAGTGTCATCAGTGCACGAGTAGATAAAAATACGGTTGTACATCTACACAATGGAATACGGTATGGTGGACCTGGAGAGCATTAAGCGGCTGAGTGAGATAAGTCAGTCAGGGAAAAACAAATTCCATATGATTTCACTTATATGTGGAACCCAATGAACAAAATAAACTAAAAAAAAAAACAAAAAACAAAAAAAACAAAAACAGAAAAGGACTCACAGATACAGAGGACAGACTGACGGCTATCAGAGAAGAGGGGTGTTAAGGAGCTGAGTGAGAAAGGTGAAGGAATTAAGCAAACAACAACAAAAGCCTCTCACAGACACAGACAACAACAGTACAGTGATTGCCAGAGAGAAGGGAGAGGGATAGATGGTGATGGAAGGAGACCTGACTTGGGGTGGTGAACACACAATACAATATATAGGTACTGTGTTATAGAATTGTACACCTGAAAGCTGTTTTGTTAACCAATAAAATATATATAGGCAAATTTTATCGTGGCAGAAAGCCCACTAATAAGCACCATGAGTTACAAAATATGCACAGAAAGGCATAAATATATATATGTGTGTGTGTATATATATATGTGTATATATATATATATAATCAAATATATATAAATTGATTTGATTTCAGAGAGGAAGGGAGAGGGAGAGGGAGTGATAGAAATCTCAATGATGACAGAGAATCACTGATCAGCTGCCTCCTGTATGCCCCTTACTGGGGATCGAGCCCACAACCGGGAATGTGCCCTTGACTGGAATTGAACCAAGGACCCTTCAGTCCTCAAGCTGATGCTCTATCCACAGAGCCAAAACAGCTAGGGTCCAAATAAGAATTTGAATGATAGTGAACTTTCTTTTTTTGTTGCTGTTAATCCTCACCTGAGGATATTTTTCCTTTTTATTTAAATTTTTTTTTTTAGGGAGAGTAGAAGAGAGGAAAAGACAGAGAGAAACACTGATGTGAGAGGAACACATCAATTGGTTGCCTCCTGCACATGTCCCGACCAGAGCCTGGACCAGGGAGGAGCCTGCAACCAAGGTACGTGCCCTTGACTGGAATCAAATCAGGGACCTTTTGGTCTGCAGGCTGACGCTCTGAACAAAACCGGCTAGGTCTGACAATGAACTTCTTCTTTTTTTTTTTTTTAATATATTTTATTGATTTTTTACAGAGAAGAGGAGAGAGGGATAGAGAGCTAGAAACGTCGATGAGAGAAACATTGACCAGCTGCCTCTTGCAGCTGCCTCTTGCATCCCCTACCGGGGATGTGCCCGCAACCAATGTACATGCCCTTGACCGGAATCGAACCTGGGACCTTTCAGTCCGCAGACCGACGCTCTACCACTGAGCCAAACCGGTTTTGGCAGACAATGAACTTCTTAACAGAACTGGATTCAAGAACTACATCTCTTTTGAGTTTTACCATCTAGAATTTCTACTCTCTGCTAAGTAATCAATCAAATATCTTCAAATATAGAGATACACAAATGACATCCCATACACCATTTCTTGTGAAGTTACGAGAGGATGTGCCCAGCAAAACAAGGCAATAAACCGAGAAAGAAGAATGGGGCCCAGGAACAACAGCTTCTAGCCAGGACAGCAGCAAGAGGAATGACATCACCGTGGCAACAACGGGGCAGCCAAGACACAGCCCATGGTGCTCACAAGAGTAAAAGGACTGAGGTCTGAGACAGAGGTCTCCAAGCAAAAGTCATGACTTCATAGATAAGTGAGTCTTTGCTTCAAAACAAAGTATACACATAAACCGAGGTAAAGAGAAGAAAACAGACGTCTGGTGACTGCTTGGTGGGGGAAGAGGGAGGAGAAAATAAAGCGGGGTAACTGCAACTAGAGTCACCTCTGAACTAGGGGGACAGTCAGGAAGTCAACAGATGAGGCCCCCATGGGACAAGGCAAGAGCTAGCAGAATGAAGACAATGAAGAAATAGCAAAAAGGAAGAAAAGCAACTGTTTCTAGTAAGTAGGCCCCAGGCGGGGGTAGAGGAAAACAGGGGGTTATAGTTTCCATTAGTTAAGTACTACTTGATTAAAATACTGGACATGTATTAACTTGCTAAAAATAAAATACTTTACAATTCTTTGACCACCGTGAGGCTTTAATAACTTCTGAACCAGGATTTGCCTGAGCTGTGTCATTCGTGTGCTCACAATGGAAAGCCTTCCCCTGAAGGGATTACAAACAGCACGTGAGGGCAACGGTAAGGTTATTCCTCCAACCGGCCCCTAAGAACTGCAGCACTAAGATTGCTCACTGAGAATTAGTCCTCAGAACAAACTGGGTTACAGAGAAATTCCGAAACTCATCGTAAAGAGATGGAGTGGCGTCAGGCTATGGTCTGACTCGGGACAGCTTAAGGGCACTGCTGTACATTAAGAAAAGGCTGGTGCATCTTCGAAATAGAGCAAATGTATATTAGTCCTTAAAATAAGTCGATGATATCTAACTCCTTCATCTAATCCCATTCTCATCAAGTATACTTCTGACAATACTACTGAACTTTCCATGTAAATATGCAAATAAGGAAAGAATGCAAAAATCATAAAATGAGTATTTGGTTCACTTAATAGTTATACTTCTCATCAGCCTCGTTTTATTTTCTCTATCAATCTCTGTGACCTTAATTAATGCTGCTTGTCCTGGAAGATGAATTTCCCCTTTTTTATTTCTTTGCTAGAGCTCTGGTGCATGAAATTTGAGGGGGGAGGTGGTCCCCCTGAGTCCAGTCTGTACCCTCTCCAATCCGGGATCCTTTGGGGGTTGTCCGACTGTCAGTTTAGGCCCGGACATCCCTCTCACAATCCTGGACTGCTGGCTCCTAATTATTCACCTGCCTGGTTTCCCCCAACTGACCCTCCCACTGGCCTGGTTGCCCCCAACTGCTCCTTCCCCTGCTGGCCTAGTCACTCACTCCCTTACTACCCCCTCTGCCACCTAATCACCCCCAACTGGTGTGATTGCCCTCTGGCCTGGTTGCCTCTAACTGTCCCATCTGCTGATCTGGTCACCCCTAACTGCCCCACCCCCTGCCAGCCTGGTCACCCCCACTGCCCTCCCCTGCTGGCCTGGTCGCCCCACACAGCCTGCTTGTTCAGTCATTTGGTCGTCCCTCCCTAACCCCCCTGCCAGCTTAGTCATAGGCAGCCATCTTCTGAGGGTGTGACAGTCAATTTGCATATTATTCTTTATTATATAGGACTGATTAAGGTATTATATATGTGTCCTTATCTTCCACTGTCCCTCCACCCCCTCCAATCATGCCCTCACCCCCCTGGTGTCTGTGTTCATTTTTTAGGCTTATATGCATGCATACAAGTTCTTTGGTTGATCTCTTCCCCTTAGTCCCAGCCTCCCCTACCTTCCCTCTGAGGTTTGACAATCTGATCAATGCTTCTCTGTCTCTGGATCTGTTTTGCCAGTCAGAGGAAGATAAATATCACATAATCTCACTCATTTATGGAACATAAAGAACAACATAAACTGATGAAAACAAAAACAGACGAATCCCTCTTGCTGTGCTATCCAAATCCAGGATATGACCTTGCAGGCTCACACAAATTAACAAAGGGATTGCCAGGGAGGTGACTGAGAACCCAGCAGGTTTCTCCCTTTTCTTTACACCAAAATGGGTGAAAAATACAACTTTTCACATAGACATTGGAAGTAAAAGAAACAACGAAGTTAGTGCTGCTTTGGCCACAACTCTCATTACTGTGTTGAGCATTTCTGATCTCCAGAGTTTGGAGCAGCGGCTGCCACCGGGCGGCAGGCTGACGGGAATAGTGCTACTTCCGGGACGCAGAGCAGCTGCCCATATCTTCTCGCTTGTTTTCACTGACATAATAAAAACCTATTTGAGACTAAAGGTCACCATTATGTGCCCTCACTACATTTTCTTGCCAACTAAACAGAGAACACACAACTTACATGGCACCGTGGTTCCAAATCTAGTGGGATTCAATACTATGAACCTGTTTTTCAAGCTTCTTCGCCCCACACCTTGAGCTCCTATTAACACTAACGTCCTTCTCTGGAAGGGAGGCATTCTGGCCACCTCCTCGTAGATCTGGATTTCATGACGGTCAAATTCTGCAGGTAAAGGACATGGAAAACACCGCATTCAATTGTCTTTCATGTGGATGAGAAACTTCTGCTGTTCTGTTCAGTGACTTATTAGGCATGCTAGTGAAATATCACTTGAATTGTACTCGGTACAGATTTGTTTCTATTAATTTGATAAAGTACAAGAAACTATTTTACATTTTGATTTAAACATCTGCTGCCATCCATTTGTTTCTTAAAAATTTGTCCAGCCAGCCGAAACCGGTTTGGCTCAGTGAATAGAGTGTCGGCCTGCGGACTGAAAGGTCCCGGGTTCGATTCCGGTCAAGGGCATGTACCTTGGTTGCGGGCACATCCCCAGTAGGGAGTGTGCAAGAGGCAGCTGATCGATGATTCTATCTCATCGATGTTTCGTAGCTCTCTATCCCTCTCTGTAAAAAAATCAATAAAATATATTAAAAAAAAAATTTGTCCAGCCAAGCTAGAAAAATGCCCGTGCTTTATCCTTATCAGATATTCTACCCATAAAACCTTCTTACCAATTTGTGAGTAGAAATAATACCTTTAATATAAATAATCTGGTGACAAATAGTTTTATGTAATTTATTCAGCTAAAAGCTGTGTATCAGATATGGAGGACAGCAGTACACCTAGCGTGGTGGCTTCAATATGTCCTTATAGAATGAGTGTGCCCTTCCAGTGATGTAAATGAATAAGTACTACCTTGGTGACTGCAAATAAGTTTGATTAATAAATGCATATAGACAACATACTGACATTTAAATATTAAGATTCTGAAAATATGTATAAAATAAAATATAGGATCCAAATTATTTTCAGTGGAAACACATTCCAAAATTATATTCATAGTCAATGGTAAAAATTACAAATTTCCTATTTTATAAGAAAGGCTTAAGAACACATATTTCATGAATAGTAAGGCTAAACTGAGAATGAAATATTCTATTGCCATCATTATGGCTATCACTCTCATTTATAGTAATACTTCTTAGGTTATGTTAATAGCAACTATTTGTATAGTTTCCCCTCAGCAGCTTAACCACCGTGGAGGGAGAGCCTATTTTCTCAGTATTATATTCTAATTTACTATTAATATTCTGTTATTTCCCTCAGAGTATGCTGTTTACTTCATTGCCAGTGGAGAGGCGGCTCTGAAGTCAAGAGAGTTGCTTTAAAACTGACAGTCCTCCGAGCGCGCCTCCAGAGCTGCACAGCACTCCTGTCAGCCTCTGAACTGACAGGAGGGACTCCGGTAGCTGTCACGTTTATCTTTCCTTCCGTCTAAGAGAGTGAAGAAAGAGTCCTCCTGGATCCAACTAAGATTCATCTGGTCAGTAATATTTTCCCAAAAGAGCCATGGACAATGTTATGCCTGAATATAGTTGCCTCTAATCATAACACTTTCATACCTTCAGAAAGGCATTTTGCTCTTTAGAAATGACACACAAATTACCAAAATTCTCTGAACAAATAGTTCCAATGATAATGTTGCCCCTTTATTAATATAAGCATCCTAAGCAATTCACTGTTATAAACTATACTTACAAAATAAGCACCTTGGTCATATCAATAGTATGAGCACATATAACATAAGGATTTAATAATGTCTGCATATTAAATTGTACCATGAGTTCACCTGCCAACCGCTTGAACTGGGTACTAATCTGAATTATATATGTAGACTCTGCCACACCGATTAACAACGTAAAGCTATTTCACGTGGGCTTCTCAAAAAGTCCTGCAAACACACCTGCGTTTCTGGTGGTGAGATACATCATCTTTTTCTTTTTTTTGCTGCTTAGGGTTCCACAGAAAGGTCCTGAAGGATGAAAAGACAAATACAACTTGAACAGTGTCAAAATAAAATACCACTGACCTGTGGATTCGACGGGGGGGGGGGGGGGGGGGGGGGGGAGCATGATCTTCCCAGTGTTGCATCCTACAAAGCAGAATAGGGCAGGCCAGCCACTGAATTCTGGTACCATACCAGCAGGTGGCAGAAAGGGATCAAAAAGTCTACTTTTGAGAGCGACACAACAAAGCAGATGGGAGGGGTTAATTCTAGACACACAGGAAGTGAATTCACTTGCTGAGTCCAATGAAAGAGGCAAAGGCGTCCACAGAGGACCACTTGTTACTTATTACGCGGGGCTCATCACCTGAATTGTCCCAGTCTCTTCTAACAAATGCCTTTCTCTTCTCTTCCAGGAACTGGCTTGGAATGAGCCCAGCGCTTCCTCCCTCTTTTACATGGCTAGCCTAGAATCAAATTAATGAATTGCATATCTCAGTGACCAAAACTTGAGACGGTATTCTAAAAAGCAGAACAAGCAGTAGTCAGTAAAAAAAATACCACATTTGCTCTTAAAACTGACCTTGAGATTTAAACCCATGGCATTGTCAAGTTATTTAAACACTTTAGCTCTGAGGAATCAAGTGGCACCTAGTCAACCCACCCACCACCTGTAAGAACAATTTGGGACCAAAATAAAAAAGTACACAGGCTCTTTAAATTACAAAAACTTTTTATTTATAACAGTAAGCTAGTCAAAGAACAGAAAGGAATAAATGCTAGTCTATGTGCTTACAGGACATTTTATCTAGCATCCTTTAGTAAGATATTACTATCAGCCTTAATCCTACCATGTTGGTATTTCCTGAGGCCAAATCAAAGAGACAGAAGCATCGGGAAAACAGAGGGAAGCATTTAACTCGCTATCAGCAATCTGAGTATCCTGAGAACAGTAAGTTTAAAAGAGTAAAACTTCATCTACTGTCAAGAACCAACTTTCAAAGTAAAATCCAAAGAACTGCTAGTTTAATATAGTGGCTGGAGAACTGGCTACTAGTGGCTTATCCCACAAAGTTAGTGACTTTATTCTAACAAACTAGCATTAAAAAAAAAAATCTGGTACATTTTTTAGCAATTAAAATCCTGGGGGGGGGGGGGGGAAATAGAATTAAAGGAACAGACTACAAAATGCAGGAAGAAACTGAGATAATGGTGAAAAGGATTAGATGAGAGATGGCATTCAAAAAGTGGGGGAAAAGACAATATTGGGAAAGTTCAATAAAGGAAACAGCCACGGAAGACAGATTTTTTCAGGTGAGCAGTCTAAGAAACTCAGTGGAAACTACTCGAAATCATGAATTCAATTTAATTTACTCGTTTCTTAGGTTTCTAACCTGTTGCACAGTGCAGTTGTACAGATTGACGTCTTAATTTAAATATAAGGACACACCAGTGAGATTGTTCTCATTCTTGTAATTCATTCCCCTCAGAAGCCAATATAACTTATTAGAGCTAATGTGAGTTTCTGATATCTCAGTTTGATTTAGAGTTTGGAGCTAGGTCCTGGTCCATTTCTCTCACAGCTTGTTTTTCAACAAGACTCTTACAGTTTAAGGGAGTTTAGACTTTCCGATTTGCTAGTTTTCTCCAGTTCTGAACACTGTGGTGTTGGCCAACGTAAACAATGACAAAAACAGCCTTTTTCTGAAAGCTGTGTTAAGGAAAGGAAGAAGATTATCATTACACAGCTTTGGAAAACAGAAGGGGTAAAATACAGCGCTAACACATTCTTTCCATACACACAGAATTCAAACCTCGATCAAAAACAACACTGACAATAAAGCACGCCTTCATTTCTCAATAAATGAGAAGAGGTGGGCAAATAGATTTCAGAGCTTAAAAATTATGTATTATTTATACTCCCATGAAAGTATTCAGAGGGAAGGGAGACAAGAGAAAGACTACTACAGCCACAATAAAAGATTTCTTAGTTAAAACAAAAACACTGAAAAGGGAGCCCCCCAAATGAGTTGTTCCTGTCTAACTCTGTATCTTACTGCAATCACCCAGGGGGAAGCACCAATAGGTCTAATCCCTAAACCAGCAGTGGCACACAGATTAGTTAATTCTGCGTTTATTAACAGCCACTCACAAATTCCCACTCAGTTTGGTCTTCTGTCCACAAAATTAGCAGCCCTGCAGCCAGAGTTGTGCATGCAGGTAAAAGCACTGGAACGAATGCTAATACCTCTTTCCTGAATATGCAGACAATGGCCACATTAAGGATGAAAATAAAAAAGCAGGTGAGGATTCTGGGCAGCACACTCACCTGCCACCAATTTGGATCTTCTCTGTTTACAATCTGAAGAATTTCTCCTTTCGAAAACTTCAATCCTGCCTCTTTGCAGGGTATCAGGCTATCGTTGTATGGATTGTAATCAAAATGACATTTCACAAATACCTAAAACACACAGTTAAAAGTATTGTTAAAACAAGGAAATGAAATGGAAACAATTAAAAGTACTATAGATGCACCATTTATCACGTGATTTTTAAAATCTTTTTCAAACCACGTTGATTTTATTGCAATTGATAATGTATTTAATACTTCAACTATGGAACTTGTCTTTCTCAAATAAAAATTAAATTATTAGAACATTAATAATTTGGTATCTGAAAAGAAAATATGAAATAAACATCAGCACCACATTAACATCCTAAATAATATATGCAGTTTATTTAAGGTATATATTTCAGATATATCAGGACTGACTTTTTGAAAGGGCTCTGAAACCAAAATTAAATAAGGGAAGTTCATGTTGAAGTCAAAATATATTTAGTAACCTTTAAAAAGTAACCACATAGACTTACCAGTACACTGGCTAAAACTAGTGTGGAAAATATTTTTCTGAAATCATCTTGCTCTGATTTAAATTATCACTATTGAATTAAATAAAATAAGTACTGAAAAAGGCTGGAAGCTATTTTAAACTCATTTAATTATACAAATTTCTCTTGAATCTGTTTTTATCAATATAAGTATGTCAATTACCAGTTAGTTATGATCTCTAGTATCTAGAATATTTTGCTTAGTCACTTTAATTTGAATTCTAATTAAGCTAAGCATTTTCAGTATTTGATGGCAAGTTCAGACAGATTACTTTCTTAAAACAATTTTTTTCATGCATATTTATAGAGATTCAAATTTTATCTTCTAAAGAACTTACTTAGCATTAATCAGGTAAACTTTAACAAGCAGGAAAACACATAATTAGTCAAAATGTTATTTTTCTACTTATCATATTTCTATAAATATAACCACACAAGATATTCAAATAACACAAGCAGATACATTTTATTATTAGTGTGGATGCATATTGGAAAATTTGATAAAATTTTAGTTATTTACGATTAGATGATTTTCAAAGAAAGCATTCTTAATATTTTCAATAACTTTGGAAAGGCTAAATATTAATGCTTAAAGAAATCAGTAAGCCAATAATGTTTTATTATATATATTTTTTAGAAATATCTAAAATGCAATCAAGTAATATTAAGCTTGCTTAAAACGTGACAACTGGCTAACTTGACAACAGCATGCAGCTCAATGATTTGGCAACGGAGAAAATCCAAACGATTACGTTTAATCAAGGCAGACTTAGCCGTCTGAGAGGACAGAGAAATGGGGTAGCAGAGGTTGCCCTGGAACAACATCATACCTGCCGGGCGCGGGCTGGATGCCTCTCCATATTGATGCCACTCTAAAAACACACCGTTCATTGCATAAATAAAGCTGGGCTTTCCAGGGACAATGAATCAACAAAATATAAACAAACACTGGCCCATTTTATTACTTCGTTCCTTTAGTCAAGCAACTACTGACCTAAAGAACTGTCCAGATCTGAACATTACAAATCAAAGCAGTAAAAAGATAGAGGGGTTTGAGATGAGGCACAGGAAAAGATGAGTGTGCAAAGTTGTAAAAATACTGGGATATGCCTTACTTCTCAAGAAAGCTGCACTGAATGAATAGTAAGGGTGCCCAGTCCTCTACCCGTGCCTGTGTATTATTCTTATCTGTGGACAGAATATGTTTTGTAACCATAAAGCTTACACTTTTCGAGGAAGTCCAAATTTCAAACATTCACTCCCCTATTCCCATCAAATTGTTCAGAAAATGTCATTATTTGTAGAACAAAAATGATACCTTTCAAGTGTAAATAATTCCTAGAAGAAATAATCTTTATTAATTTATCAAATTAATTTTGGAATATATTAAACTGGTTTTGACTTTGAAAATTTGTCTGAAAAAAATTAATGAACCCAATCTTTGATCTAAACATTTTGTAATGATCTTAAAGCCATTAGATATTTGTCAGGTGTAATGACATTTTATTAAGTGCATTTTAAAGGGTTTCACTAAGAGGCTATGGATGTTAACTATTCACTCGTTATTTATTTATTTAATATATTTTATTGATTTTTTACAGAGAGGAAGGGAGAGAGATAGAGCTAGAAACGTCGATGAGAGAGAAACATCGACCAGCTGCCTCTTGCACACCCCCTACCGGGGATGTGCCCGCAACCAATGTACATGCCCTTGACCGGAATTGAACCTGGGACCTTTCAGTCCGCAGACCGATGCTCTACCACTGAACCAAACCGGTTTTGGCTATTCACTCGTTATTAAAAAGTTGCTAAACACAACCTAAAATATTTCAACCCCATATTCTGAATGACTAACAATCTAAAGAAGATGCAAGAAAGAAAAGGAAGTACAATGGCTTTTAAACACAGGAGTTTAAAAATTCAAAATTCACAAAATAAGGCATTTCAGAACAATTAAATAAGAGTTTCCCTCCTCTTTTCTTTAGCAAAAGAGTAGCAACTGTGGCTAGTTATATCCAACAGTGTGATTAAAGATAAAAGTAATCTAGAGATTACCAGGAATCTTATTACTAACCTGTTGAGGAATAATGGTATCTCTATAGCTTGGTAAAATTTTTAGGGTGACACTTCCACTAATATTTTTCAGTAATTCCTGTAATTCCTTTGGGTTATTTCCAACCTCGTGGCCATTGACTTCTTTGATGATGTCCCCCACGTGGAGCAGACCTTGTCGATCTATCATGCCTCCATGAAGGATTCGGGCGATTACCAGGTCATTATTTTCAACCCTGAAGGTTACACCCTAAAGGAAATAAGGAACGGAATTGTTATTGATTTTAGACTCAAAAATAAATTTTAAATACTCATGAATATATATATTCCTGTCTCAAGAGTCTAATATCCTTAAACCATGTGCAATTGTGATAATACACACCACCCTCAAAAAAGGACTTCCATGGTAAGTCCTCCATTCCACAGGATAAAGGTTACCTCAGAGGAACAAGAAAAGACAGACATGCCTTGTTCCTGGCTTTTCTTTTCTCCCATTTCACTGTTTTTATAAGTCAGGATCCAAAAATAATAATGTTAAGTAGAAAATTGTAAACGCATAGAACTCTCCCTACCATTTCTTCACTTTTTAATAACAACTTTCTTCCATGTTTTGGTACTTCATCAGCAAGCAACCTGAACTGAGTTCTTCAAATGGCATAGGAAAAAAATAAAGTACTTATTTCCTGAAATATTTGCTACCCAAACTTCTGGCCTCTATTTCAGTTTAATTTTTTTCTTGGTTTAATTTTGTATGCTAAATCAAGTTGAAACAGCATCAGAAGTATATTTTAGACAGAGTCCAAAAACCACATAAAACAAATACAATTTAAGTTTTCATAATGATACAAGTTATGAAAGAGAAGAAAATGAGAGCAGGACTGAGCTACAAGTATGGCAGCTTCAGTTTAATTTATCTACTCACCAATGGTTCCCCAGCTCTTTTGTGAATACCAAGAATACGAATGGCATCTACTGGTAATAACTGATTATTCACAGAATTATTCATTTCCGGGCTTGATGGAGGTGAATCATAACACTTTGATGCCACAATGTCATGGGCTTCCAAGAGTGACTGTAAGGATTGAAAACATAAGTCGAAGGTAAAAATTTTTTTCTGAGATGTTAAAATGCACGTTCAAAAACAAATAAATCAAAATACAAAGCAGAGCCCGGCTGGCATGCCTCAGTGTTCTGCGCATAGACCCATGAGCTAGGAGGTCACTGTTCAATTCCTCATCAGGGCACACGCCCAGGTTGTGAGCTTAATCCCTAGGAGGGGGTGTGCAAGAGGCAGCTGATCAATGATTCTCTCAACATTGATGTTTCTATCTCTTTCCCCTTCTCTCTCTGAAATCAATAAAAACATATATTTTTTTAAAAAATATGAAGAATGGAGCAAATGTCAACTGTTTCAGAATATAGATAATTAACATATAGGTTTTATAGATAATTTCTGGCTATCTCATAAAAATATGTGTAAGAGACTAAAGAAAATTTTCAAAAAGGAAAAGGGAGCCTCCTCTACCTCGTGGGAACCAAGCACACACCGAGGCATGTGCCCTGACTGAGAATGGGAGCGGGGACCTGTGGTGCTTGGGTGGGTGCTCAAGCCACACTGGCAGGGGGCTTCTTCCTTCTGTAGTCAAGGTGCAAATAGACCTAAAAATAAAAAATTAAATAAAAAAGGAAAAGGGCACAAATACGTGTAAGGGAGTTGTTCCTATAAATGCTGCAGTCACTCAAATCTCTTAACCTGGTCTTTGTTTTTACTGTTCTCTCTTCTGAGGAAATATTCATTCCTATGATTTCAACCACTATTTATATATTGTTAATTCCCAATTTTATTCCTTTCTTCCAGATCTTTCATTACTTCAGATTGATAGACTAAAGATCTGCCTACAACATAACACAATTATGATAATTTGAAAATCAAAGAGTAAGCATTGTAGAGGACTGAAACATATTGAATTAATGAAAAATCCATAACTCCACAGTGCTATTTAAAAAACCAAAGACTGAAAACATTCTTCATTAATTTAGACCAATGCTATTTTAAATAATTCTTTACTTTGAAAATTGGTAAAGGAAAGGATCAAGCGTTTCACTGACATTTCAGTGGGAAATGCATTACAGAGTAACTCAATAGCCCACTCGATGAGGAAAAACCTTTTCTATATAAGAACACTAGCTAATATATGCAGAGTGAGAGAATCTGAAAAATGTCATGTACAACCTCTAATGAAAATATTGATTCAGGCAAGGATTATTAATGTAGGTAAATGGTTGAAAGGAAACAGCATTTGTATAATGCTAGGATAATAACGTACCAGATTACCTCTAGTGGAAAAGCTTTCAAAGGAAGGGTTAGGCTGTCATTGCCCTTAATCAGGGACCAAACTCGGCATCAACAGTGGTGGGCCAACCAGGCACTGCACATTTCTGATACAATTTAATTCATGTTGCATCATATCATTTAAAATGAACTCGAATTCCAAATAATTAACTTGAATACCGACCTTTTAGATAGAACTTCTGTTTACAGGAAATAGGAAGGATAACTAAACAACACAGAAGGGAAGCAACCAGATACATCCAGAAAGGTGGACATGCTACCAGAGAGTAACCTGACCTCTTCAAAAGGTCAATATCATAATCAAGGGAGAGAGATGGTCCAACCAGATGCTGCACAGGGACCGAGGTTGGAAGCCTGCATGTGCAAACCAGCTGTAAAGAATATTTTGGCATCAAATAAAGACATCTGAATATAGCATGTGCACGTGAGAGGTCCACTTACATGGAAAAGTGGCAATCAATGATTGAAAAAAAGGGTGAATTACACAATACCTTGTGAAAAATTATCTCAATTTGTAAAGAAAAGAAAGTACATTTATGCACAGGAAAAAAATGAAGGAATATGCACTAAGATAATATAGTAATTTGGGTCATAAGAATGCCTTAATTTTTGTATTTTTGCTTCCTATTTTCATATAAATGTATACTGATTAAGTTTTATGTATTTACTTAAAATATAGATAGCTTGCCTAAAAGCACTACCCAGATGCTCCAGAGGTATCACAGACCTAACGTAGCCTCAACATTCACATGTCGTTTCTCCTAGAGGATTCCTAATCTTAGTGATGCCAACTGTCATAAATTTCACCCTTAATCAACTTCCCACAGCTCTCTTCTGCAACTGTCACATGTAACCAGTCACCAAGTCCTGTTGATTTTGTGTCTTAACACTGGAAAATCCTCATTTTATACTGCGATCACAACTTCTTGCCTCATACTTAACAATCTAGCTCCATAATCAGACTTCTCCCTGTTAAATGCCCCCTCTTATCCCCACCATGGTTTTTTGTTGTCCTATGGATCAAGGCCCAATACCTTAATATGTTTTATAAAGCATTAACCAACTGGCCCCTGCATAAGGGGTGTCTCTGATGTGTCCATGTTTTTGTACCTAAGATATTTATGTAGGAACCATCACACTCTAAATCTTCATGTTTTACATTAACACTGTTGGGATCAAAGTCTTTGAGGAAAAAGCAAGGGGTGCTGCCCCCCAAGATCTTCAGTGGAAAGCAAGGGACACTTTATTTCTCTATCCCACATCCATTTATTACACAGTCCATTCTTCCCCCTCTAAAATGTAACTCTCTATCATAAGACAGGTCGCCATATGTGTATGGATATATTTTGGGTTGCTATTCTTGTCGATTAATCTATTTTCCTAATGCTAACCCAATACCATACTGCCTTCATTACAGATTTATAAGAAATCTCCTCCACTCCCTTTCTCTCCTGAAACTAGTTTTCCTTTGTTAAAATGATTCTCTCTTTATTGATATAGACCAGTGTTTCCCAAACTTTTGACATATGTGTACCCCTTCTATAATTTTCATAACGCTGAGTACCCTTCGTACTCATGAGAACGTAGAATTAGGTGCAGCTAAGCACGGTGCAGTGCCTATCCCCGCCAAACTCCGGTGCAATGCATACCCCCACCACACTCTTCCCGTACCCCTGGGGGTATGCGTACCACACTTTGGGAAATACTGATATAGACCAATGCTTACATTGCACTTAATTTACACATGGACCTAAATAATATTTAAGACCTCATTGCAAACCGGAATTTAACACAAAAGGAGACTGTCTGGGAACACAGGAAGTTTACCTGGAAGTGAGGCTCTTTGAGTATCCCAACCAGTTCCGCCACATTTTCGTCCACACTGATTAGAGGAGTGATATCTTCAAGAATTTCATTGACTAATTCCAAGTTATTGTCACTGACAGCTTCTAGTTTTGAATCTTCCAGCCTCTCGTGAGCCTTTGAAAAGACAGTATAGGAAAAGTAATAACATATATTGTTCGACTCCAGACTCTGGTTTTCCTCGTGATTTGCTTCTTTTTCATAAAGTTTTAAAAGATGTGACTTAAAAGTGTGATTCATAGAAACCAAATTTAATATTTCAATCAGAGGCAATATATAGATTTTTGTAAGTAAATGATTTCATGCAGTATAATAAATGTTGGCCTCTATTCCTTTCCTAGGCCATGAAAAACTCATTTTTATAATTAAGCTATGAAAAAAAAACAAAAAAAAACAAAAACCCAACGAAATACGCTGTCCTTCAAGATCCAGTTCAAGAACTGTTTCCCTGATTTATTTGCTGATTTGGACTATGAGTTTCCCAAAATGATTTTTTTTGAATGGTGAGTTATATAATGATTATGTCCCTAATAAAGCTTCATCTAGTATTTGAGCCTAGACTAGAAAGTCATTAGGAAATTCTGTTGGATAAGAAGTATGTTTTTTATTATCATGTGGCCTATTTAATTTTGTTGTTGTTGTTTCTTATTGATTTCAGAGAGAGGAAGGGAGAAGGGGAGATAGAAACATCAATGATGAGAGAGAATCATTGATCAACTGCCTTACCTACACTACTTATTTGACTTCTTCACTATACAGACAGCCATCACCTTGTTGTTACAATGGCAAATGGGATTTTTAAAAAAATATATAGCTTTTTAGCTCTAAGATTTTGTGAAAGAAATTCAAAGTCAGAATTTATTTAGTAGACTTCAAGAGACAAGAGTACCAACTGGAATTTACCTAATCAAACCAAGGACAAAGGAAACTCTGATAGATAAATCCCATGCATTTGAATAAATAGGTCTTGTTTCCTTTAGGAAAAAGCACTACTAGAAAGCCAGCATAATTCAATAAAAATGTCACCTGCCACAAGTGACTGGCATAGCCTTCTTGTATGATCAGTTCTGAGAAGTCTATTCACCACCGCACCTCAGAAAAATAAACTGCAGAGAAGAAAATGCTCTTCCAGAACTTCCAAGTATTTGACCCAAGCACAGTCCAACCATGCTTGCAAAAAACAAAACAAAAAAAACAAAACAAACACAAAAAATGACCTTTTTAAACAAGAATTGTGAGCTATATCTAAAATGACAAATACTATTCTCTATTAATAATAATAGAAAAAAGATGAAATGTATGCTAAGAATAATGTTGGCGCCGGGCCTCTAGTGCGTGCGTGTGTGTGTGTGTGTGTGTGTGTGTGTGTGTGTGTATATATATATATATATATATATATATATATATATATAACTTACAGTTGGGCAATCTGCAGGTGGCTACCTGGGGCCGAAACCTTTATATCATGTGATCTTAGAAAGATTAAGTTTATGAGTAAAATAAAGAATCTGCATCATTAATTACCTCTGACCAATGGAAAATTCTGAAAAAGGTATGGTTTTTCAGAAGTCTCAGGAAAAAACAAGTGGCTAAAAAATGATCAAAGGAGAGGGTGAAATCAATATTCTGGGAATAACAAATGGCTCTGTGAAAAAAAGAAAGAGAGCAGGAACCACGGTGAACCGGCAGAGAGGTAGGGCAGGGCTGTGAAGCCGTAGGCACCGAGCTTCAGTGATGTATATAAAAATCATTCCAGGAAAATAGGGTAAAAGAAAAAAACTGGGCCAAAAACAGCTATAAAAGATGAATGAGTTAAAGAGATTATTACAAAGCTGATATGGAAATAGACTTAAAATACCAGGGCTATCCAAGAGAAAATAAGATTTCAAAAAGTTCTAGATGTAAGAAGGAAAAAATAGGTGCATGGTCTAATGTAAAAAAAGAAAACCAGCCCCTGAAATCCGTATAATTTTATTACCCAATATTATCTCAATAAATCCAATTTAAAAAAAAGAAAAGAAAAAAGGATGTCCACATTTTGCTATTGCTAAAAATGAAGACAGAAGACACTTTTTCCTGTAGTGTAGTAGGGCCCATTACACTACAACATGACGGTTCAGTTACGATTTCCCTAAAAGTTTAAAAGTGTTGTAACAAATTTTGATGTATACTGAGATTTCATTATGTGGTATTATTTGCTAACTAAGCCTAAGTTCTAACACAGTAATATCTGAAAAGACCTCTGTAAAAATACTTTAATAAAAAAACAATTTAGTAATCTTATGAATAAACCATTATACCTTAGCAAGTGATTTTACGATTGGATTCTCCATAATCCCCTTGAGGAAAATTAGGTCTATCTCTTCTGCTCCCGTGGAGGAGGGCAGCTCCGTAAGGTTATCCAGCACTTGCTGCATTTCTGTTGAGATAAGAACAATGTATTAAAAAAAACCTCTGGTGAGCATACTGTGCAATGCAGAGACAATGGATTACAGAACTGTACACTTGAAACATGTTATTAACCAATGTCACCTCGATAAATATATTTGTACGTTCCTCCTTAAGATTTTAAATATATAAGATCATGTCAAAAAAGGATAGTTTTACTTATTCCTTCCCATAGCCCTAGCTGGTTTTGCTCAGGGCTCAGAGGATCTCAGGTAGTTTTTTGTTTTTGTCCTATCAATAGTACAGTGTATTACATTGGTAGATTTTCAGATGTTGATGAACCGCCCTAGCATTCCTGGGATAAATAGTACTAGTCATTATATAAAATCCTTTTCAGTGTTGCTAGATCCAGTTTGCTAGTTTTTTATTAAAGATTTTTGCATCTTCGCCAAAACCAGTTTGGCTCAATGGATAGAGCGTTGACTTGGGGACTTAAGGGTCCCAGGTTCGATTCCGGTCAAGGGCATATACCTTGGTTGCGGGCATATCCCCAGTAGGGGGTGTGTAGGAGACAGCTGATCGATGACTCTCTCTCATCTGTGTTTCTAACTCTCTGTCTCTCTCCCTTCCTCTCTGTACAAAATCAATAAAATATATATTGAAAAAAAAGAAAAATTAAAAAAAAAGATTTTTGCATCTTCATTTATAAAGATATTTATTGACTGTCATTTTCTTGTGATGTCTTTGTCTGGATTTGGTATCTCACAGAATAGTTGGGAAGTGTTTCCTCTCCTTTTTGGGGGAGATTTTGGGGAGAGAGTGTGAAGAATTGGTTTTAATTCTTTAATATTTGATAGAATTCAACAGAGAAGCCATCTGATTCTGGGCTTATGGAAAGTTTTTTTTTTTTTTTTTAATATTAATTCTTACCCGGGGATATTTTTTCCATTGTCTCAGATAGAATGATAGGTAGGGAGGGAGGGAGACAGAGAGAGAGAAACATCAATGTGAGAGAGTCACATTTATTGGTGGCCTCCTGCAGTGTCCTTGACCGGATTTCAACCTGAGATCCTCTGAGCAAAACCAGCTAGGGCTATGGGAAGGAATAAGTAAAACTATCTTTTTTTTTTTTTTTTTGACATGATCTTATATATTTAAGATCTTAAGGAATATACAAATACATTAGTATAAATGAGTTCAGCAAGGATACAGGATAAAAGATCAAAATACAAAAATCAATTGTGTTTTTATACACTAGCATTGAACAACCCGAAAATGAAAGAAAATCATTCTTTTTACAACAGTATAAAAAACAAAACAATTATTAATAATGTAACAAAAGAATTGCAAGATTTGTATACTAGAACTATAAAATGTCTATTTAAAGAAGACAAATAATAGAAAGATATCCCAAAATTCACAAACTGTTAAGATGACAATGGCAATATACACAAACTGATCTACAGATTTAATGCAATCCCTCTCAAAATCTCAGATGCCTGTGTGTTTGTTTTTGCAGAAATTGATAAGTTGATTCTAAAATCCACATGAGAAATGCAGGGAGCACAGAATAGCCAAACAAGCTTCAAAAAGAACAAAGCTGGGAGAGCCATACTTAATTTCAAATCTGACCGAGAGCTACAGTACTCAAGAAAGGCATAAAGAGAGAACTAACTAAGAATCCATACATTCACAGTCAACTGATTTTCAACAAGGGTGACAAGACAATTCGATGAAGGAAAGAATCATCTTCCCAACAAATGGTACTGGGATAACTGAATACGCACATGTAAGAGAGTGACCCCCACCTCCCCCACTTCATTCAGCATCACTCTTCATTTTCTTCAGTTTAATTTACTAATGTTATCTCTTCATAATTTTAAAGCATTAGAATAAATCTAATATTGTAGTTGTCTGGTTGTAATATATCCTACTTTTATTAAAATAAAAACTAAACATTAAGTGTCACATTGTATCACTAAGTGGCTTATAATGAAATATAGCAGTGCTCTGTTCCATACTATCTGCCCCCCTCTAAAAGTAACGACTTTTATTTTAAGTTTCTCTTAATCACACCTATGTTTCTGGATAAATGCTCACATTGCTACCTTTTAATTTACCCACTTATCCATTTTCTGTTAGAACACTAGACCTGCCCACACAGCCATGTCTTCTGGCCACGCTTAGCTTGGTTTTCCCCGTAAGGAAATGGCCAAGGAGCTCCAGGAAAGCTGAGCGCACACTACAGGGCAACAGTGTGCCACAGTGACTTTTAAAACATGCGATATTTAGGGGCAGTGACCTCTTTTCATGTAGATTGTCAAATAAAAATAACAGCCAACAAAACAATAGCCATCGGTGTGAATGAATTAAAACTATACTTTTTTTTTTTTTTTTGTCAGATAGGCAAAAAATACATTTTTTGGTGTGCTGCGGAATGCTAGTGTTAAGTTTGTGTGTGCGGTCAGATGAAAAGGTTGAAAATCACTGCCATAATCCCATGACGTTCTGCACGGGGTGGGGAGGCCCTGGCATCTGGCAGCAATGGGCTGTCCAGGTGAATGTGATGCTGGGGAAGGCCCACAGCAGCCAAGGTTTGTACGGCTGTTTGTTTTTGTGAAGACGCAAACACGGACTTTTTGGTGAAATCTTGAAGAAGACCTCAGACCCTGTGGGACTCAGGCCCCCAAAGACTTGCAAGTGGAGACCACATACTCAAGGATTTAGGCTTCGGCGCACCAAGCCGGAGCCCCCGCTGCGGGCGGAGGACGAGCAGGATGCTACCGCGGGAAACCCCGGAATCGGCACCTGCCGGATGCCACCCAGCCCCCAGCCAGGCTCCCATTCCTAATGAGCAAGGACTTCTGCTCCTGCTGCTGGGTCTGAAACCCAGCACCTCCTGCGAGGGTGTGCCTCTGCCAGCCTGCTGGAATGCCCTCCGGGGACCTGGGTCTGCAAACTGAGAACCTGCACTACCAGCAGGCACTGACTGCTGGGCCACCCTGGCCAAAGCACCAAGGGAAAGCTCTCAGCAACAATACCAGCAGCCAGCCGAAACCAGTGTGGCTCAGTGGACAGAGCGTCGGCCTGCAAACTGAAGGGTCCCGGGTTCGATTCCAGTCCATGGCATGTACCTTGGTTGCGGGCACATCCCCAGTGGGGGGTGTGCAGGAGGCAGCTGGTGGAAGTTTCTCTCACATCGATGTTTCTAACTCTATCTCTCTCCCTTCCTCTCTGTATAAAATCAATAAAAAACAAAACAAAAAAACAATACCAGCAGCCAAAGACCTACCCAGTCCCCTGACATCTCCCCAACACCCAGCAGGTGACATACTCCCCACCGTCAGGAGAGGACTATGAACTTGCAGCACTCAGCTCTTCCGCGCGGCGCAGAGCTTCGTGGACAACTGTCCGCACTGGGAGCGCTCCGGGGGGGCGCCGAGGCCTCTCGCTGAAGATGGAGTGGACAGACCGCGCTGTGTTTGCAGGCAACCCCAGCACATCCGGCTCAGCAGGTGCAGGCAGGACCAGCCAAGCTCCACTGAGTCCCAAGCTCAGAAGACCGTCCCAGCCCTTTCTGACGGCAGTTTCACAACCGCTGCTAAGACTATTTTCCCCTGGTGCACTTTCTTTCTGAAGTTGCAGTCAGATGTTATTCTTAATGTTCCTGTCAATGCTTCTTTAAACATCCTTACTTAGGCCCCGGTTTGGCTCAATGGATGGAGCACTGGCCTGTGGACTGGGGATCCCAGTTTGATTCCGGTCATGGACATATGCCTGGGTTGCAGGTTTGACCCCCAATGGGGGCATGCAGGAGGTGGTCAATCAATGATTCTCTCTCATCACTGATGTTTCAATCTCCCTCTCCCCTCTTCTCTCTGAAATCAAAATAAAATAGAAAGTCCTCACTTGGTTTTTATCACAGTTCACTTTCCCTGCTCCAGGCTCCTTAATCCCTAAGGTGAAAGTTGGGGTGAGGGGCCTCTGTGTCTTCTGGATCTTCCCCTTGTCCCTGGTTAAATGGGACCTATTTGGGGCCCCTCAGGGTGAGTGGCGGGAAGGCAGACAGAAATTGGTGGGAGGGTGGGTGAGGCGATGGGTTGCCCTGGACTCCGGTTAAGCCAGGATGTCAGAATTAACACAACTTCTCTGCCATGCAAGGACCTGGCCTAACCCTTCTGTTCTACACTCCGTTGTGAATAAAATAGACAGTGTCTGACACCTGGCAAACTCCCATGCCCCCTCCTTTACTGAGGTGAGGTGTGACACAATGGAGGAATGGTTTCCCCTAACTGGCTTGACTTTATAAATTAGTTGTCTAATAAAATGAACTATTAAAAAATACAATTGTTCTTACTTTACTTTAAAGTAAATTATCCTAAACACATGACAAAATAATGAGAAAATGTATAAGATATGAGTAATAATTAACCTTATAAAACATTGAAACGTTAACCTAATCTATAATTACTCAGACATGGATAACCACAAGATAACTCTAGAGTATGTAAAAGTTTAATGTATGAGTTAGAAGTTCTTGGTAGTAGGAACCTTGCAAAACTGGGTGGGAGCCAGAGAAATAGGGAAGTGTCCAATGTACTCTGAGATTCCAGGAAGAAAGGAAAAATCCCAAAGCTCAGAAGGTCAGATTTTTGCAAGTTCCACTCCTCCTGCATAATCATAAGGACAGACCCTTCAACCAGAAGCTAGATTCAATGACATATAAGTGGAATTCCTATTTGAGCTGTAGAAAAATTAATATATTTAATCTAGACCATTCAATTACAAATATGAACAAATCAAGAATCACAAAACACTTATGAAAACGATCAGCATGAATGCAACTCAACTAATTCAACAAACAGAAGCATCATCTGCCAAAGGAACTTTGGAATGTGTTGGGGAGAGAAAAGAAAGCAAAATGGATAAAGGAAAGGATTAAGTTATAATGTGTGGGAAGATCAAATTGAAGAATTCTCCCACTAGAAAAGGGCAATGAGAGAGAAAGTATGAGAAAACCACTAAGGAT